TTGCCCAAACTTTCTCTGGAGAGTTGCTAGAGCATCCTTATACAACACTCCACTGTAGCCGTATTCCGCAATTGCACTCTTGGCTTTGTCTTTAACGTGTGTTTTCAGATATTTGAGTTTTTCATCATCAGTTAGCATAGCCGAATCAACTGTTGCTTGGAACTGCCCGAACCATTCATACCAGTTAAGTGGTTCTCCATCAAACACTTCCAATTTCAACTCCGGTAGACGGTCTTTGCGGCTATGCAGAATGATGTCTGCTAACTCTCTCGCCGAGATGGGTTGTTCGTCGCTATTAGGCACGTAAGACGGGCCCGTAGTGGGCGCAGGATATGTAGGTGGATAACCTTGATGCGCTGTTTCAACAACTGGATGAGTTTGCGGCTGGGTGTAATACACAGTCCCAAAACTTGTATAAGGAACTACGGTGTTTGGTGGAACAACAGGAGTTGTCACTGAGAAAACGTTTGAGGGCGGTGCACAGTATTGAGGAACTGGCATCGTTTGCGCAGTCGCGGCAGGTCTCCACAAACTGCTATACGGGTTATAGTGTTCACTTGAGAAACTTGTTGGGTTGTTTGGAACATTTATAGGTTGATGGGATGGCGCTGCAGGCGCCTGATACCCAGTTGAAACGGGGCCGGAATGTGGCTGACTGACCGGAAGCAAAGAGGGAATAGGAACGGTTGACGGGACAAATGGTTGAATAATCGGAAGCGAAATGGGAATCGGAACGGTTAATGGAGAAACAAAAGGTTGACTCGCCGGAAGCGAAACTGGATTAGTAACGGTCGACACAGAAGGCGGTGCCACATTAATGGTGGGATTACCAAAGGGCATTGAAGCAGGAATGCTACCACTTGCTTGTGGTATCAGATTGTGATTTTGCGAAACTTCAGCATGAGGTGTTGAAGCTAAGTGTGGAGTAACAAAGTTTGAGCTGGAGGCAATGAACTGTGGTAAACTAGATGGGTTCTCGATTGAGTGCAATGACAGACGCGATTGGACCAAACTTGATCTCTGAGCCTGAATTCGATTCCTATTGTGGCCTCCCGGTTCACTGTATGTGGTTTGACCAGCGTTGACGACGGCACCCCCGCTGACGACGGCACCAACCCCTTGCAAAACATCAGTAGCAATCAAAGTGGAACTCTCGACTACTGGATGACTTTGCTCTGAGCTTGCAACAACTTCGGCCTGCTCTTGCTCAGTGACAACGTTTTCTACCCATTGTTCAGTACGTTGTGGGTCAACATGTGTTACGCTAGCATTTCCTATCTTCTCACTTGCTGCAGAAAGCTCTTCTTCCAACTCGAATTCCTTTAACTCAATTTCAGCCAGTTTCTTGCGGTGTACCTCAGCTAGTTCTTCCAACTCTAAATTACCTTGCTGTTCTTTTATTTTATTTTGCTGCGCTTTCAACTTCAATGACACCTTTGCTTGTCTCTCAAGTTCCTCCTGCTGCTTCTTCAAAACCACCAAATCTCGCCTCTTCTCAGTTGATGTTTTTGACTGCGCGACGGTATAGCGACTGGATTTATGCGAACCTGATTTATGATGTCGACTACTGTACCGCGACACCTTAGAGCGCGCATCTGCTTCATGTGAATCTTGTGGTTGTGTTGTTACGATCGTACTTAACGATTCTGAAACATTGTCAAGCTCTGTTTCCTCAGGTTCAACGTTTAAGCCAGTTTTATATGATGCAGCCTTCTGTAAAACTGTATCGTTTCTTGATGTAACCGTATGAAGCCACATATCCTGCGCTGGTATCAATTTATCAGGATCAACACTTTTAGAAGCTAACTTAATCAATTCCTCATTTATTTCAACTGCAGTCTCTATCAGGCTCTTGCAATTCTGAATCTGAGTGTCAATCTTTGATGAGCGACTCTGACTTTCAATGTTCTCAATTATAATTTCATGGCACTTGTACAGTTCATTTTCAAGCTTGGTTCGCTTCGCAAATAACCTTTGAACCCTCTTCTGAAAGTTCTCATCCATGGCTCTAGGGTCTATACTTAACTCAAACTATACTTAACGGTTATCGGGCGTTTGCGGGGCGATTCGGAACGGTTTTTGGTGAGTAAAGTTACCAATGGGGCTGGGGATTAAGTAAGTCGGTTGATATCAAACAACACACACGGAGTAAACCTGAGGATGAATAAAACCAACTTAACTTACTTAATATCACCTCCCTGACCACTTAGGATGATGTTACGGCGTACGAAATTTGTTGAACGGTCGTACGACGGTGCGTCACTACTAATCGGCTAGTAGCTCGACGAATTACCAAGAGGTTTGGGAATTAAGCAAGTCGGTTGAAAACCAACAACACACGCGGAGCAAACCTGAGGATGAAAGACAACAACTTAACTTGCTTAATTTTACCGTCCCGGACCACTTAGTCAGTCGTTGCGAAACGAATGTTTTGAAAAGCGAACGGATGCAAACAGGTATCAAGTCGTTGTAAACCTTAAGTTTACCAATGGGGTTGGAGAATCAGGCAAATCGGTTAAGTTCCAACAACACACGCGGAAAAAACCTGAGGATGAAAAAACTCAACTTAATTTGCCTGATATTTCGCTACCAGACCACTTACCATAAGGTTGGTGTCATGTTACAGCACAGTTTCGCAGAATTATGGGGACGTTTCGACGATTTTTTTTTGGAAATTTTTACTTTTTTCCCACAAATTTTTCGGAAAATTTTGGTCAGCAGGTTCGAGTCGTAAACCAATCCAAAAAACTAGTCTAGTACCCCTTGTCTTTGATCCGATTTCACGGATTAATATTCTGTTCACAAATATCCAAAAATTTTTGGTATCGAGAAAAAATTACCACTTGTAGCTTGCTTTGAGTTGGGATACACAATAACACATCGTACGTAATTTTATTGCAAAGAATGGTTTGTAAAGATTAGACTAGTCTTACAGTTTTTGACGGTTTTGGAGATTGGCGTCACCGGGAAAAACCAAAAACTTCGGGTGTCGAGAAAATTACAGCTCCACTTTGACCAAAAGTCAACAATCAGGACACCTGAACAGGGCTCTCTTCCACTAGTCAGTCTGCTTTTTCGTCCGTCTGCTATGTCGTCTGTCGGTCAACTGGGTACGCTATGCTTACTTTCGGCCAAACGTGCACTTTCGGCCAAATGCCCACTTTCGGCCAACTGCTATCTGATACTTTCGGCCAAACGCCTACTTTCGGCCAACTGGTATCTGATATTTTAGGCCAAACGCCCACTTTCGGCCAAACTGCTTTCTGATATTTTCGGCCAAAGGCCCACTTTCGGCCAACTGGTATCTGAGTCTGATATTTTAGGCCGAACGCCCACTTTCGGCAAAACGCCCACTTTCGGCCAAACGCCCACTTTCGGCCCTCTGTTAGCTGATATTTTCGTACAAATCGAGACAATTTTTTGCCGACTCTTCTGCCAACTGAACAACTTCAAACTCTATTTGCACTGGTGTCGGCGAAACTGTCGTGTCCCTTGTGGGGCGCCAAAATGTGCGCGTCAATCTCCAAGATTATAAAAAAAAAACGGTTTTTAAACACTTTAATTAATGAGTATTTTCTCGGCAAAATAACTCCGGAAATATAACGGAAATTTGAAAATATAACGATAATTTTAACAAACTTTATCATCGGTAACATCGGCCACAATAAACTGCATAACTCAAAGCAAGCTGCAAAAATGGCCAGTATTTGTCCTTGAGACAAATTGCTCTTTTTAAAGGTCAGCCATAACCAAGGCTGAACCAAATGAGAGCGAAAAAACGGTTAAAATGGGTTTTGGGGGGACCGAACCTGGTTACGGAGCATCCCATCAAGTTCGGTGCACATTCGAGTTCTAGAAAGGAAATGACCTAGTCGGGATTCGAACCGGCGCCGAACCCGCCGGGACGCACCATGTATACGCTTGGCTACTGTCCCTGTATGTATTTACTTTTATATGCATTTATACTCTCGAACATTTACATTTGCGCTGCAACAATTCTATTGAAAAACGTAGCTAATATTGTACATAATCCAAGCTCTTTTTTAAAATCTCATTATTACAATCAATTGATTGTAATCATCCCATTTAAATCATCCCATTATTTCCATTATACATCAAGATTCTTTAAAGCTGGAATTTAATACCCCATAGCAATTGAAAACTACTAATTGTCACCCTTTTTCGACCAACTTTCGCTTTCGGAGTGTTGTCGCTTCACGTTTTCGGTGACCGGCCTACTTGCATGCGTGCCGGTTAGCATGCGGCTAATCGAGCAATTGGATTTGAGATTGTTTTCTCACATTTGCAAGTGAAACTCAAACTGATGTGTGCCGCATTAAACTGAGTAATTATTTTAGCTGCGCGTGCTTAGCGGCCCGCATGCAAGTTGATACGCCCCGTTTTTTTCGCCACAACACTTACTTTTGCCGCCTCCAGCTTGTTGTTGTCTGTACTTGGACATCTGTCTCTCCCACTTCTTCTCCCTCTCCAGCCGTCTCTGCTCCTCCCTCTTCCACTCCTGTCTCTCCTTCTCACTCATATCCTCGTAGAACTTCTGGTTGCTCCTCCAGTCCTCCTTAACCTATAGGCACAAAAATTACGTAGCAAAAATTATATTGCCATAAAGTAGACAAAGTGCTGAGCCAATCAGAATCGAGAAAAAAATATTACGTTTGTTTTCTTTTCTCGATTCTGATTGGCTCACGAACTTGTCTATTTCTGACCGAACTCCATCCACAAAACACAGACGAAAGACTAAGCGCGCATGTTTTTTTACAAGCAATACAAAATTCTTACGATTTCTTCTTCGGTCAAACAATCTGAGCAAAATTATAATTCCGAAGTCAAGATTTTGCCACAATTTGTTAGAAAAGTAAGTGGTTTTTAAAAGGAAAACACTTTGCTACTGTCCAAAAACCACTCTAATCTTGGTCTGTTTTGATCGTCAATGGCCTTATTACAAAGGTTTTTAAAGAACTTCATCTGCCTCTTTTTGAGTCAGAAACCAATTTTTCTCTTATATAAAAGCCCTTTCAATAATTGCACTTTCATGCATTTTGGCACTTAAATTAAAATCTGCGGACTAACTTAGTCAAAAACTAGCAGTTTAATGTGCATGGCGTCACCAGTTTTTCTGGCACGGTAAAAAGACGGAGATTTTACCACGGGGAGGATGTAAATTTGGACCTTAAGATATTCTGAAAAACTGAGATTAATTTGATATCAAATAATATTAAAAAAAAAAAAATTTTGAGCTTCGCTTTTGCGTTGGGTAGGATGTTGCTGATCCACTGAGCCAAAGAAAACTGTAATATAATCTCAGTCACTTTAATATCACATTCAAAGCATAATCGACAGCCAGTTTGAAAAGTGTCAATGAATTCAAGGAAGAGGAGTAAAAAGACAGGTTTTTTTAACCAGTTTTCAATTTTGGGTTTTGAAAAAATATATATTTTGGGTTTTGAAAAAATTTGAAAATGTATATCTTGGTTTTGTTTAAATTCAAAAAACTTCTTGATTGATCCGGCTGGTAAGAAACACTTAAAAAATAAAAGTCATTCACATTTTTTCACGCCTATTACATTTCGTAATTGGAGAAACTTTTGCTAAGCAAATGAATAATAATTGACTATGAGAAAAAATCTAAATTCAAATTGCAGCTGAAACAACTTTTATTTTTTTTCAATTTTTTTAAAGAAAAAATGAAAAAAATCCACACAACCTAAACCATAACGTTTTCTATGGTTTCTAAATGGACATAGTTTCGCCTCAACCTAGTATCGACCCATTGTACCGTATTTTTTTCACATCGACTGCAAAAGTCGACTGCCTAAACGTCACTAGCTTTGGTCCATACCGATTTGTAAACTAGTCAGGCATATCTAAGCTATGTTTGGCGTTTAAAAAAAAGATGATCAGCGCCAAAAATTTCTGAGAACACGAGACAAATTTACCAAAAATTCAAAAAATTTGCTTTTGAATTTTCCGAATATTTACAGAGTTTCCTCGAAAATCGATTCCGCAAAAATAAAATCTTTCGGAACAATTATAAATGGAATTTTCAGCAGGGAAAATAACAAGAATGCTCTCCTAGAAGCAAGGCCTTGAATGTTTTGACTGATCCTGTGTTATCTAGAGTAACTGTTTAAATGTGAGCTCAAGGTTAAAACAACTAATTTTTCCGAAAATCTTGAGAAAAAAAACGATAACGACGCCTTTTTGTGCCTTTACCGTCATTGTTTGAAAACATTGCAGTTCTAGGTACCCCAACGAAAGGTCATATAAGGTCAAGTATGGTATCAAAATTGGTTCGAAAAAATACTTTTTTTTTCGGGCAAAACTGGTCTGATTTTAGCTGCTTTTCAGACTCAATTTTGGTGAAGAGCTGCCTCTTCGTAACAACAATGAACAAATTTACACTTAAAAACATGAGCGGTTGATTGACAATTGCACTTAACCCAACAACCAGATGCTCTTATTTTTTGCATCTTTCATATGTTCAATTTTGTTGTGTGCAGATTTTGTTACAGTTTTTTTCAGTTCAGTGGATCAGCAACCACCTGCCGAACGCAAAAAAGAATTTCAAAATTTACTTCAAAAAATTATTTTTTAATTTCAAATTAATCTCCGTTTTTCATTATATGATAAGGACCAAGTTAACGTCCTCCCACCATTATTCACATACACGTGTGCCCACGGATCACCCCAGAAGGAAGACGTCACACAGGGTGTAGGTGTAAAAGGTGAAAACAGATTAGAAGAAATAAATGAACAGTTCAATTATGATCCGGAGAAAAAATTTGCCTTGTAATTTTCTGTTGGGATCCCGTTTACACCCAAACCTAGTGTGACTTAAGCCATTTGGTTTGACACGTGTGTACGTATGTGTATGTACATATTTATAGATGTACCATTTTCTTGTAGATGCTCCACTCTGTCCTCCTCTTCTCGTCCCAGTTGAGCACCTCCTCCGACACCACCCCATACTTCAGGGCACGCATTCTCTCCAACTTCATCCTAGACAGAACACACTCTCAGCTACAGACAACAACAGTTACATCTAGACAAAGTTAATTTACTCAACCATGAATTCAGAACAGTTAGCCGAGTTGGAAACTGGGCCCTTATTTGACCTGTAGTGGATTAAAAATTTCGTTCCCTCTTCTGGAGTTCAACCCTTGGCCACCAAAAGGGTCCCGCTTTTGTTACTATTTTACGATATTCATTTTCTGCAGACTGACGCTAAAATTGTTCTATGGGGAAACGTGTGCCAAAAAACGCAACTTTTTTTTTGGTCAAAACCTTTCAAAAAGGGCCCAAAAACGGGACTTTGGACCAATTTTTTTTTCAGAAATTGAATATGGCCAGTTTAAAAAATCCTAGATGAAAAAAGAAAAAATCTTAAAAATCTCAATTAAAAAATCCGCTTTTTCTTGAGAAAAACCTATATCCACTCCTGCAATTGTCATACATATATTAACTGTATTGAGAGCAGTCACTTGGCTTTTAAAATTTTTTTAGTAAAAATTGTTATACATTTTTTATATCAACCATTATCGTTTTCTGAGCTCTTCTGAAACACTTAAAGCTATCAATTTAGGAGAATTTTCCTGCGCCGTAGATAAATTCCCTAAAATTGAATAATGCGCTTTTTTTTGGACAGTTTTTGATTGTTTTGAAATTGGATTTTCCTAAGCGCGCTTTTCCTGCTCAAATTTAGTGTATGATGCACTTGGTTACATTAATGATCTTCTCATGTCTTCTCGTATTCAGTGTACTGTACCTGAATTTATCATCTTTCTCCTTCTGCTTCTTGGCTGCCAGTGCCCTCTTGTAGGCCAACCTCGCCTGTCGTTTCTCCTCCTCCTTCAGTCTGCGGAGCACAAGCATTGACTGCAGAAGATTGCCCCCCTCGTCCATCATTTTCCTGAAGATGATCCACTCCGGTGAGCCAACCTGTTCAATACACACAACTCTTTACATAAAAACCTTCAAGTTACTAAGTTTTTTTAAAAACTAGTGTCGTTTCTTGTGCGTGGCGAAATACGCTAACAATAAATACAAGTAAAACATTAGAAAACTAGATATAATCGACTACAGTTGTCTCAAAAATAAGAATAACAAACAAAAACTGAAAATTTTTCTTCTGATATATTTTTTCACGTTTTTAAATTTTTGAGAAATTTATTAATACCAAGGAAGCGCTGAGTGAAGCGTTCAGAACTAGTTGTTGTTTATTTAAATCATTTTTAGCCTAAAGGAACGAATTTCATAAAATTTAATTGCTCGAATTTAGTCTAACACTCAAAAATTTCACATCGGTTTTTTTTCTTGAGACTGGGACAACTGTTTGAAAAATACTTTTTTGCTGCGATACGATATATTACTAGACCCTATCCAATAATTATTTCTGTTACCTGTTTACTAAGCGCTCATTGCTGGTTGAATGCTTAGTAATTTTATCCTAAATTATAAGTCTCACCTTAGATCGTCAAATTGTCTTGACAAAAAGTAGAGTAGAAACAATAGTTAGAAAAGGTATGAATTAATTAGTTGGTTAATTACAAAGCACTGGGTTATTAGATTATATAAACGAATCGAACAGCTTAAAGAAATATACCTATGAGGGGAGGTTGAGCTAATCTTATGTTGTTCATCAATTTTTTATCTTCTTACTAAGATCGGTGGCTGATTAGTATGTATGGTTGCCCTTGATTTTGTCCAAGTCAGCATTTCTGGTTGGGTCGTCTGAATCGTCTTGCCGTAGTCCTTTGGGTACTTGTAGTCCAGCCTTCCTCGGGGGTGCGTATCTCGATTATCTCGATTTATAATTTTTCAAATCAAACTTAAATTGAGAATTTATTCTCTTTTTATAAATGATAAGGGCTAGATTAATTTTAGTGTTAGGGCAGAAAAGAAAAATTATTTATTTTTAAAAGATCTGACTGAAGAGAAATGACTTGCTGCTGACTGAGCAAAATGAAACACTGAAGATTTCAGGCCAGTCCTTTTGCTCGTAAGCATAAACCGGCGGCTGATTCAATCTTTAATTATTCAGGTTTCACCTGCTCCTTTGTTCTCCCTTTCTTATAAGGGAATATTCAACTAGTTTTTATTTGATTTTTTCAAATCAAATATCTTCAACTTATTAGTCCCCTTTGATAAAAACCGCAGCCTTCAGTTTGTCTTATTAAAAATTCATATTACTCTCTCTGATGCATCATATTGCAGGTGCACCTCTGCTTAATCAAAGCAAGGAGAATTTCAGTGCAGCCGGCAAGACTGCTAAATATTTATCCAGTTTGTTTCAAGTTAAGTTAAAAGGGACGTATTAATAATCGCCGCCCTTTTCAAATATTGAGTATGAAAAAATGAGAAAACTTGGACAAGTATTCAAAAAGGAGTGGATTTTCAAAACAAGATTTTATAGTCCTAATAAGAGTAAATCAGTCAATATCTGATTTAGTGAAAAGAGGCTTTAATTTAAATGGCACGCTCCAATTTAGAATTGGGTCGTTAAATAAACAATTAAGACAATTGTCTTTTGTGTGTGTGTGTAGTATTTTTCAATACTACACCTGCTTTTGGACAGAAAACTTAACAGAATACAAAGTTCCTTCCCACTTTCAATGGTCGGAACAATGATTGAAACTGAAAAATCAGGTTTACAGAAAAACAATAAAAACAAATTTGCTGGTCGACGAAATTATCTAAAAATGTTATATTTGAATCACATAAAAAAATTTTGCTCTCATTATTAAATCAATTGAGCAGTAATAACTTGAAAAAATTAAGATTGCCAATTTGGAGCCTACTATTTCAACCGCTGAAATTGAACTTTTTATCTTCCGTTTTTTTTTTAGTTTTCATTTGTTAGTGTAATTTTTTGCACACCAATTCGGGTAGCAAAAATTAATTATCATAATGAAATGAATGATAAATGACTAACAAGACTGCTCGTATCAGGGCGAAGCCCTGAATGTTCCGAGTGTCTTTTAAGGTCTATGGAGCAGTAATAATATGGAAAATTTAAATGTAACGAAATAAAATTAAATTTTTTTTTCTAAAAAGTTGAGATTTTTTGTAAAAACATCCCCCCACACGCCATTTTAAGTACAAAGTGATAGATATAGATTTTGCTTCTATTAACAAATGAATTATGGCATATAATCTTCCTTGAACCAATTTGGAACGATTTCTAAGACGGATTAAATCTCGCTTACGCGTTATTAGCGCGAAATACATCGCGCGTTAATTGTCCCAAATTGGCAAAAATGGCAATATTTAAACCCCCATAACTTTACGAAAAATGATCACAGGTGAAATATCTTTTCAAATTTAAGCTCAAGACAACAATAGATTTCAAATGATCTAAAAAAAAATCCGTCAAAATTGGCTAGTTAAAAAGTCGAAATTTGTCTGAAGAAAAAACCCACCCGAGCACAAGTATCCCGTTACTTTCAAATCGAAAGTCGGATCAAAAAGCCTTTTCAGTCTTGAATTTATTGGCATAGCAAAACTCTTACTTAACGAGAAAAACTGGTTTGAAATGTTTGCATTTTAATCCTATTTTGAGTCTGATTTCTTATTATTGTTTCGACTTTTGTAACGAAAGTAACGGAATATTTGTTCTCGGTTTTTTTTTCTTCAACAAAATTTCGATTTTTAACTAGCTTTTTTTGACGGAATTTTTTATATCATTCGAAAGGTAATGTTGTCCTGAGCTTAAATTCGAAAAGATATTTCACTTGTGAGTAGTTTTTGTAAAGTTATGGGGGTTTAAAGATTGCCATTTTGGCCAATTTGGGATAATTAACGCGCGATATATTTCGCGCTATTAACGCGTAAGCCGAGATTTAATACGTCTTAGAAATGGTTCCAAATTGGTTGAAAGAAGCTTATTTGCCATAATTGTTATGTTACAAGGAGCGAAATCTATTCTTTTGTTCTTTATATGGCGTGTGGGGGGATAGTTTTCACAAAAATCTCAATTTAGAAAAAATTAACTTTATATTATTACAATTGTTGCAGTTATTACTGCTCAATAGACCTTAAAAGTCAGTCGGAACACTCAGTGCTTCGCCCTGATACAATTAGTCTTGATTCTTATTTAGGCTAATAAAGTTGTTGTAAAAGCACAAAACGCACTTACTTATGCAGCGAAAAACTAGTCGTGTTTTTTGATACCAGATTTTTAAGTGAAGTGGAAGAGTGCGTGAACTGAACCGCCCTCTATAACGAATATTATGTCATCTGATTACCCAAGTTAGCAGCCTGAACTTTTTCTACTTTTCTATCAGATGAATAAAATACACGTTTTCCCGACTTGTCGGTAGCCTTTTTCGGTAGAAAGTTTGTTCTAAAACACTTTGCTTCGCTAGTGTAAAAATAAACTGTTTCTGATTTGAAAAAAAAACAATTAGTTTTTTGAACTGTTGGTGCGGACAATGCTTAGTCAAAAAATAGTGAAAAATTTTTTAAGCTCAGGCAGGAAAACTTTGGTGCTAAAACAGTTGTGGTAACTTGCTCTTAAGTCAACTATGACGCAATTTTTTAACAACCTTTAACAAAATTTCTGGATATTTCCATGATAACATACATAACTGCATTAGTTAATTGTTTCTGGTATTTAAAATTGTGCAAGGAAGCTTAATTTTTTTTTCAAATATTAAAACATCAAATAGATTCAAATAAATGCAAAGTTTTTTCCCACGTCGTTGTAAAATTAAGAAATACTCTAAACAAAGCTCCTTTATAAAACAAATGATTCTTTTAAGTCCAAAAACAAACAGTTAAAAGCCTATTCAAAATCTGTTTTTTAATTAACAATCTTGCAGTCTGTGCAGTTTTTCGTTTCAGTTTGTCTCAAAAACATTGGCAAAAAATCATGAAACAATTTTTTGAAAACTTTTATTCTGAAAACATTAAGATCACTACTACCAGAAGAAATTTCACAGGCTCATCACTCTCAAAAAATGAAGGTCAGAAAATTAATGAACTGAATACAAAAAAGATCTTATAAGTAAATATCCTAAATAAATAACTGATTTGAAGAGCTACAGAAAACAAATCAAACTTGCTTAATTTTCCCAGATTATTTCTACTAATCTGACTACCGACAACTACTTTCGCAACTATTGCGAATCTACTATCTATGGTTTTTGGAGGAAGGCAAGGCTTATCAACGAAAATTTCGAACACTTTTCCAACTGTTTTTAGATAAACACAAAAACCTTGTTTTAGTACGAAAAAAATTCAAAATGCCAGAAAAATACAAGTAGTATATGTTGGTTGCGCTGATCAGATAGGCTATAACTTTTTGGTCGGAGGGCTATGTGTATTAAGATAGAGATAAGGGTTACCCATGTTATTAGATAGGTTTTAAGTTCCTCCATGTGATATGAAGCTGTATTATATGTAATGTTTTATGATAATGTATCATATGTCATATATCATATATCAAATATACACATATGTATAAAAAGTGCATATATGCCAAACGAAGTTATGAGGCACATTTTGGAAAACTCTGGGCAAAAATTAGAATAGTTTTTTTTTGCAGCTGACCAGAAAGGGTACTCTAGGACCACCATGTTTTAAGATAGGCTCAAGTTTTTTCTTTTTAAATAATTTTTCTTTTGAAAAGTTTTTTTTATTTTTCAGTTAGGCTTCGGCATAACTCCAGACAGAACCATAAATGTAGTTGGTTAAAACACTGGCCGAAACTATTCCTCATTCAAACATGGAATCTTATAGAATTTTGCATCGATAAATTCGGGCGCAGAACGTTTTCCATATGAAACCTACTATCAAAACTTACCGTCTTAACACTTTTGATGTCACATGGAGAACTTGAAACCTCTCTTATAACATGGGCAACGCTATTCTCTATCTTAATACATTGCCTTACGACCAAAAAACTATAGCCTCTTTGAATACATATTGGTCAGAGATTAGCCCCAACAAATACTAATAATGTATTAAAGAGATTTTTAATTTTTCTTCCTGTGTTTGTTAAGTTTCTTTGAAAATACGTTTTTTGTGTTTAATGGAGTTTGCGTGAACTTTTTTTGGTCCGTAAAATTCTTCTAATAACAGTTGAAAAAATGATTGAAACTTTCACTGATATTCTACTCCCCCCAAAAAAATTCATCGATATTAGAATTGAAATTGTTGCGAAATCAGATTTGAGTGATGAGAGGTCAGCTCAGTAGACTTACTTTGTGAAAAGAAAACAAACTTGATTAGTTTTCTTTTGCTCCTTAAACCACTTATTTATTTAAAATAATTACTTATCTGATCTGTTTTATATTCAGTTTATAAAACTTCTGACCTTCAATTTTGGGAGTTAAGAGTCCTATCTAAGCTTATATTTCATAGATCAAAGTGCTGTTTGAGGTTTTATGTGTAGGTGTGATTGTGATTGTAGCGTTTTCAGTAAAAGGTGTTTCAGAACTGCAATTTTATTTTTACCTATTTTTTTGCAGACTTGAGTTTTGAGGTTTTGTTTAACGGAATCAAGAATTGCAAAAAAGATAACATTGTTACAGTAGAAAAGCAAAAATTTCAAGTCTCAAAAAAATGCTTACAAACTTTCGAGGTTCCAAAATAGGCATCTAATTGATTTTTTAAGGTTTGGAATAGTCAATTATTATTAAAAGGGTGCTTTGCTGAGAGTATTTTATGTTTTACAACGAATTGGTAGGGATTTTTGCATTGGCTTTCTCGCGCAAAATTAGATACCAGAAACGACCAACTGTTGCATTTTGTATGTGATCTTGGAAAAAATCCATTCAATCATTTCAGTCGTCTTTTTTAATTTCCGGAAATTTTCCTCAGGATTGACTGTACCGACAACAAATTGCACAATAATTGAGTTAAGAGCATCAGACAAGTAAACTAAAACAATTTTTGCAACAAAGTTTTTTCCTTGCTGAACTTTTCAAAACATTTTCTCCATTTTTTTGAACTTTTTTGCCGGTACCAACAGTTCAAAAAGTCTTACACCTTTTTTTCCATGTAGAAAACAGTTTAAAACATTCATTTTCAAGTTTTATCCAGTTGTTGTTTTCCGATTCTGCCTTCCATTTACAGAAAGCAAGACATACAAAATGAAAAGTTAGGAAATTTTTTTAATTAAAAAGAAATTGAAAATTTTGAAAAATCAGGTTTTGCTCAACCTATGATTCGACTGTGCTTGACATATGTTTCGACTTTCTTGACCGAAATTGGGCGTTTTTCGACTTTTTGCTCGACTTGAAATTGCCTCTCCAACGCGAATTTTCAGCCGAAAAACTGCACCTTCTCTGCTTTCAAAGTTGAAACATAAGTCGAGCACCTCGACCCGGGTGCGTATGTGTATATATGTGCATGTGTGTTTGCGTTTCACTCAGGTGCGTATTTCAGTGCGGTGGGTGGGCGGGGGATGGCGCTGGAGTGGGTTGGGATTGATTGGATGACTAGTGGTGTACCTGGTACTTCTGCATGATTCGCTTGGCATTGGCATCCACCACTTTGTTCATCAGTCTGCCCCAAGTGAGCCATGCCCTCTCCAACATCAGAAGAGTGGCGGCCACGAAGGAAAAGGCGTCCCATACAGTCACCGCGATGAACTTCCTACCCTCTATCTGGTAGCCATCCTGCAACATAAAACAGAACGGGAAACAAAAATACAAACCATTACAGGAAAAAACATTATATCTGTAGTTGGTAACTTGGCTACCCAACCCATTTAAATTTGAATTCTTCGCCGGTCCAAGTTGAAGGCCATATTTATTTCAATCAATCTTAACAAAGTTAATGAAACTAAAAGTCTCCATTTTGTGAAAGTCAATATAGTCAAAAGTCTACAAGACATAACTACATAGCATACAAAACTGCAAAATTTCTAACCGTTAGAAGCCAATTGGATATACAGATTTTAACAAAATATGCATATACAGCTTTTAACAAGATATGTAGCTTTGAACAGATTTATCGGACAACGTCTTAATTTTTTGAAATAATTATGACCTTGAGACAGTGAAATGGCGTGCAAACTGCAATCGCACTTTCAAAACTGCATTTCAACAGTCAAAAAAGCAAGGAAAATGATCGCAATTTTTCGGAAATATTAATTTCTTCCTAATCTCAACAGAGCAATCAATTTTAAAAATTTTGTCAATCAACAACGATTTGCCATGCAAATTTTGAGAGAAAAAGACCCATAAAATGCCGACAAAAAAGCAAAAGCGAAATTTCGAAAATGTTTTTCGGTTTAATTTAAATTTGAAGGTCAGAACTGATTCAAAAACTCAATGCGGTGTCCGATATTTTTGATAAAGCTATATATGCCATACCTAACTCATGCATGCCGAAGAAAACTTAAGTTTCACAAATCTCTGATTTCGAAATTGCTCCGGATTATGATAAGATTAGCAGAAATCATTAAAAACATGGTTTGATTGAGCTGAGTTGAAATTGAGTCAGGAGCAAGAAATAACAAAAAGATGTCTTGCCTTCCAGGAGTAGTAGACCTCTACTGGCCTGTAGTCGCTCTGCATCGGATCCGTCATGTTCAGTTTGCTCATCGAGATCTCCTGTCTGATGCTGCACAACAGCACAACACAAACAGAAAAGAGCAACAATAAAGATTCAATCTGATTCTTATCATGTACGAAGGTGTAAGCTCCGAGTTACTAACTTCCATTTTTGGCTGTGTACATTTCACGCGCTCTCGTCCATATTTTGTACTGTTTGCGACTTCAAATCAGTTCAAATTTGGTTTTTGAATCAAATACTGCTATCTCGACATCATATAACAAGTAGTTTTTAATTTATAATCACTGATAACCTTGAATAAACAGTGTTCAGTTTCTTCAATGCTTCAGCTTCAAATTCAGTTGAAGAAAAAAACAATAAATTTTGACGTCATGTTGCGAATTTTGACCCTACTAAAAATTTGAGCAATATATTAAATGCAATTACTTTAAAAGAGGGGCAAAACCGACTAGATACCTGATGGAATCGATGAGCTCGTTGACCTTGTAGAGTGTTTTGGTCATGAAGTTGTAGGAGCGGAACTCACGCGCCAGAAAAGTCCACCGGAAATCCCCCACGATCTAACCAAACACATTCGAACACTACTTTCACACACGCCCAATAAATACATTGCGTGCAGATAACTTCAAGCCAGGGGCGGATTTAGGAGGCGGACTTTCCCCTTCCCTTCAGGGATTCGACCCACTGCCGACCCAAAGGGTCTCCCTTTGTACTTTTTTTGAGATATCCAATTTTGGCTGACGGACCCAAAAATTTTTCTAAAGGCGCCTTGGGCGCCAATATATACTAATTTTGAAGGGGGAGCGGAACGCGCGCCAAAAAACGCGATTTTTTGGTCAAAGTTTTCCACAAAATGCCAAAAAACGCCTTTTTGGCTTGTTTTTTTGAAAAAATTTGCCTGCGGCGCAAAAAAATGTAGCAAAAACACAGTCTTTTTAACAGCTTTGGGAGAGCTCGAAAAACCAATTTGATCGACCAAAAAATTTTCAAAATTTTTTGAAAATTCGCCTCCCCCTCCCTCGAGAAAATCCTAGATCCGCACCTGCTTCAAGCCAGTGCTTTGTAACGAATTGTGCCACATTGTGTTAAAGACGACAATGATGAGCGATAATGATGAGCAAACGGATTTAATTTAAATCCTTGAGCAAATGGATCTTTCAGTTATCTTAAAATGTAGGGCTGTGACACTTGAAAACGTTAATCAGCGACGTTAATATCGGTTTTTGAGCAGCAAATGCACTTTAAATAACAAAAAAATTGGCATGTTTTTTTGTTTAATTTCGATCAAATACTACTTTGATGTACTTCACAATTCCGCCTCCTCAATACTCTTAGTACATCTTGCTAACCTGTTGAAATCATGTCTAAGAGCAGTTCATATTCACATCTTTGGTAGGTTCATAATTTGTGAATGCGCACTCATTTTGACACTAAAAGGAGATATGGTATAAGTATGATGGGCCTCTAAGATATAAATAGGCCCTGAAAGCTTTTTTGGTCTTTTGAATCTTCATAAACAGCATTTGCATTAGCTTACTTATGTCTTCCAGTATCCACAAAGCAACGGAACCAATTTTACGTTCTTGAAGCCGCAGCATTTTTGCAATGGGTCTAATTAAAGTAGATCTGAAATAACTTTAACACATGATTAGGAGCTTTGCACTTACGAATCCAAGGAAGGAGAACTTGTCGAGTGTTTGGAACTTTTCGAGTAGTTCGTCGTAGCTGGGATGCAGCGTGGCCCACACCCCCGTCTCCGTGTCTGCCGGGCGGAGAGAGGCGAAAATGAAATCTCGCTGCTTGTACTCCGAAGGACCCTGTAACGCATAAGTTGATTGGGGACGGGGGCTTCTATGGGCGCTGATTTATGATAATTTTTGTGGACGGCGAGAGCGCTGAAAAATTTCATTTTTGATGAAAATTTCTTTAAAAAAAATTCAGCACCTTTTATATTGAAGAAAAGGCCTGGGGTGCATACATTTTTTAAAGGTGGACAATTTTTAAAATCCGTTTTCACTCTTGCTAAAAACTGCTATGGGAAAAAGTTGCACTGGAGCTAACCCGCATGATGATTAGCTTCAGGGGTTGGTTGTCCAGCTCTGCCAATCCAGGTTGGGAAGAGTACAGCTCCCCCACTCCATCACATGCCTGAGTGAGCTGCTCCTCCGAGATCTGTTCCGGCTCTGCAGTGGTGAGGATCTCGCACTGGTCCTGCACCTGGTCTTCCAGACACTGGAAGATGTCGTAGCACAGGGTGCCGAACTCACGCTCACCTGCAAACATAATAAAACAGCCAATAAGATTGACTCAAACCGACTAATTTGATCAAAAGATAGTTACATTTTGGTAGCCTGCAGATTAAGGCTTTCCGTGCGACAAAAATTTGTAAAGATGCTTTCAATTTATAAAACATGAGACAAAAATTGCCCAGCTGTTATCTTAACTATCTCAGCTATTGTATTATCTAAGAGTTTTGCTTCTAATTAGACTCAATCACCACTGAAACAAGATTTGATCTGGTTGAGAAACAAGAAATTGAAAACAAACGCTACTTTTTGCAGTCTAAAATATAAGGAGAGCAATTTAGCTTACCTTGCAATTATTGATCTGAATCACCACCCCAAGTATATACATTCCTCTTTTTTTTCAAAGTCGCAGAGTACTCATTTTCATAGTCCTCATTTTTTCAGAAGGGCGATAGCTAACAACATTAGGGCTCCCTTCATAACTATTCAAACTATTCAACCCCCTGTGGTTACCAAAAAAAGTATCTTTCTATAAAGGGCTCAACCAATTGTTAAGCATACGCAAATAATGTACGTACAATAAATTCTTTCTTTGCCTATACAATGGACCTGATCAGTTATACAAATGGGTCCATTTGGATACACAATGGGCCCATGGTAACTCCAAGCGTTGGTAGAACAGAGTCATAACACAGTGGACTTAGAATCTCAATGAGTCGGTTCAAGTTGCTCGAAGAACTAGTTTTGGTACCATGAGCCCAATTTTTGATCCCCGATTTCTCATGAAAGGGCGCAATTTACGAAAAAATCAGCCCAATTAATGAGCCCAATGTACAAAAATTGGGATGCATTGGACTCCATTAGGTCTTGATAACTCGGGATAACGCGCGGTTTAGGGAGCGGTCTGGGGGGCGGGCTGGGGTCGCGGAACCAATCGTTCTAAAAACTGGGCATTTAATTATTGCTCCTATTTGTTTCCATAAACAGGGTGTTATTGAGTCGAATTTTCAGCAAATTGGTCCCGATTTTTCCATGAGCGGGCCCAATTTTTCGAGTGGGATCCTCATTGGGCTCATTTTTTCCATGATAACTACAAGGACGAATCTTACTTAAAATTAGGCTCATTCGCTGGTCACTCATAAAAAGTCTAAGACGATTTATCCACAAGGGAAAGGACCAACATACAAGCTGTTCAGCTCTTCACGGAGAACCGCCGTTGTGCCCCTGGTTAGGATTTACATGCATTTTTGGCTATTTTTCTGGGCTGGGTAATGCTGCTTCACCCTCAAGCAACGAGCACGGATCATGGTGGGCCTCGAACATCCGACCTTTCGATTGAGAGGCGGAGACTTAACCCATTCATCACCGTCTCGACCCAGGTAGGGGCGAAATAGATTAATAGATCCAAGATTTTCAATGAGAATTTATTCATACCAGAGTAAAAACAATCCCACACAGGAAGACAGCGGACCTCGTCCATCCTGTCGGGGTGCATGCACTCTATCCACTGGCCACAGGCGGCAGGGAACTTGGGCACTGTGCCAATGCACTGTCTGTGGGTGAGACAGGGCTCCTCATCTACCAGTCGGTGGGTGGAGCTGAAGCAGATCTCGAATGTGTGGTCGTCCACGCAGACCTGTGGCTCATTTGCACAGCTCCAGATCTTGGAACACCTGCAACAAAATACAAAAAACAGTATAGAACAGATGTGGCACAAACTGGTTAGCCGATTAATCGATCCGAAAAAAATCAGTATAGTTTTGTTTCGGGCACGAAGTTGAAAAGAGGTAAGTTTTTGGGGTGTTTTTCTATTTTTTTGTTTGTTTTCTACGCTTATTCAGATTACAGAAATCAACGATAGATCGGGTCGAGCCATGAATCATATAAAAGCCGTTTCATTCTTGATTCCTTTGATCTTAAAAAGACAGAAAACTCGTTATAAAAAATTGGCACTTTAATTCAATCTAGAGCAAAGCAAGTATAGCCAATGAGTATAGTGCAAACTTTTGAAGCTAGTTTTTCTCTAGCACCAAAAGCTCAAAATTTATTTTAATATAAAACTGAAATTGAAATAGCTTATATAAACATTTTCAAATAAAAAACTAATACATTTTTTAAAATTCTTTGTCATGTTCTTGAAAAACAGGAACTAAATGAAGATAAGCTACAGATTAGAGAAAAATTGATATTAACATTAAAAAGACCGCTATAATAACAAGTTGCGAATAAATATTGGATTTACTGCAACAACGATGATAAAAATTTTAATACCCGGGTTTACCTGTCATAGATACCTATCGCTGGTTTAGAGATAATCCAGTTTTATGAATTTTTCTGCGAATTTTTCTGCGAGGGATATTTCAAGGCTATATTTTTCAGCGATGATCCTGGATAAATAAGCCATTTGCAAACCCTGAATCAGCGCTAAAGTTTTTTATTTTTTGCCGACTTGTTTTGAAAAAAAAACATTTAAGCTAAACACATGCAAAAACCATTGAAAAACGTTAAAAATTATGCCAGGTTTTAGTTTTTTAATTAGTACGGTCATAAAAAATTCTATAGAAATAGAGTTTTCGAATGATGTCATTATAATAAATCTGGGGAAAAAATCATGTAGCCCAAAATTGAAACCTGCGAATTATAAACTAACTTTCAAGTTCTTTCTAATATAGCAAAACAAATTTCCCAATTTGTGCCACCTGATTTTATATCTCAAGTGTTTGTTTCCTCTTTTTAATGCATTCGTGTTGTATGTATGTGAGCTTTCGTGCGTGTATGTGTTCGCGTTTGTGTGAGTTTTCTTGATTTCTTGTGTGCGTGCGCTTTCCTGTGTGTGTGCTTTCGCGTGTGTTTGTGTGCTTTCTTGTGCGTGTGTGCTTTCGAGTGTGTGCGTGTGGTGCTTTCTTATTTGTGTGTGCTTTCATGTGTGAGAATGCTTTCGTGTGTGCGTGTCTGAGTGCGTTTGTGTGTGTGTGTGTGTGTGTTTGTGTGTGTTTGCGTCTGTGGGTATGCTTTCATATTCAAGTGTGATTTCAGTTTGTTTCACTCGCTTTGAAATCTACCAGGCTCGACCTTCGCAGATTTGGCACCTCAGAAGGTTTTTAATGATGTTCGGATGCGACACGGCGGCTTCAGTGACATGAAAAACGGAAGAGCACCTTCAGAGTTCCTAATTAAATGAATTTTGGGTTTTCTGTTTTCGGCAGATAATTAAAATAAAAACTTGTATTCTCCCCATAGAATCCCTTGAAATTCTACATTTCTCCTATTGAAATTATTGGAAACAAAATATAAAAATTTCTTTTTTCTAGTAATGTTTTCAATTACTGTATTTAAAAAAAATTGGGTTTTTAGAGGAATCTGTAGAAAAAATAAGACTTTGTTGCAATTTTTTGGCAAAAACAATGAATTTATTGGAGCTATATTTTTAAATTGTACCCATTAGTGATTTTTGGTTGCTTTGATTTTGCCTCTAACTAATTTTGATTACAATTTTCTATTTTAGTCAAAATGAACTTATGATCACAGAAGAAACAGGGATGGGATATTCAGGGTTTTTGCGACGGTTTTTAGCTTTGAAATAGCGCCAATTCGGTGAAAAATCAGGTAATTGCAGTGTTTTTTCAGCCTTGACGTAGCTGTAATTCAGTGACAATTAAGAATGTTCAGGGTCGTTGCATTGATAAAAAAGGTTAACTTAATAAAGAGCAAAACAATTTAAATGAACGTTTTGGAGGGCAATTGAACGAATTAGGCAGTAAATGAACATTTTGGAGGGCAATTGAACGAATTAGGCAGTAAAAAAATAATTATTTCACAAATTGCATGCCCTTAAATCGAGCGTTATAAAAACTTTTGTTACAAAAGGGGTTGCAGTTTTCGGCTAAAAATTTTCTTCTCATTAAGTGTTTTGCTTCTGCGTTGTTTGTTTTACTGGCTTTCATAATTGCCTATCAGGTTCACTGTCTGGATCAGAAACGTCTCCATTTCATTCAACATTCCTTCCCGATTATTTGAATGATCTAATGAAAGATTTCAAAAATTGTTCTATACGATCACTTGTTTGATTTGATTTTTTCAAATGGAGCAAAACTGGCGTTGTCTCATCTTTTTTTTTGTTGATAAACTTCAGAGTTCATTTTTAACATTCATTTATTCCTCAACTTAGCAGATCGGTTTTAAAAAATGATAGTTTTAGAAAAACTCGGGGTTTCAAAACTGGTTGTGAGCGCGTGTTAGACAGATGTGAATCCTGGATGATCCTGGATAAATAATCCATTTGTAAACCCTGAATCAGCGCTAAAGTTTTTTATTCTTTGCCGACTTGTTCGGTTTTAAAAAATGATAGTTTTAGAAAAACTTGGGGTTTCAAAACTGGTTGTGAGCGCGTGTTAGACAGATGTGAATCCTGGATGATCCTGGATAAATAATCCATTTGTAAACCCTGAATCAGCGCTAAAGTTTTTTATTCTTTGCCGACTTGTTCGGTTTTAAAAAATGATAGTTTTAGAAAAACTTGGGGTGTCAAAACTGGTTGTGAGCGGGTGTTAGACAGAGGTGAAGCGGATTTTCGCGCCATTCGCAATAAAGAAAAAATGCATATAAAAAAAAGAAAAAAGAACAACATTTTCATCTAAAAAGTCGACCGAAAAATTAAAAATATTTTTGATCAAAAGCAAATTATTATTGGTAACTCATACCAAGGAGAGAAATAATAAAAACAACATTTCAAAGAAGTGAACTTTTTTCAAAAAAGTGAGACCAAAAAAATTTCAAACTGGATTTGAGAGAATTGGAAAATAAAAAAAATACCAAAAAAATACAATTAATCAAAGAAAAAAATAGCCAATAGACAGTTTCAAAGAAAAAACAAATCGTCAACAAAACTAAACCAATTTGAGAAAACACGATAAACATAATTTTTGTTTATGCAAAGCTTTTTTCTTGCGCCGAGGTTTTTTTCAAATTTTAGCGTGAACAGTTTTTAAGAATTTTTTCCCTGTAAAAAGCACCCGACCTAAAAACTGTTTTTAATTCCTTCATTGACACTTGAAATTTTTATAGAATCATTCACTTGTATTGATGGCAGAAGCAGGAACAGAAAACAAGAACCAATCTTGCTTTTCCTCGTATTTCACTTGCATTTCAAATCTCAGCTTTATCTTACCTGCCGTCACATCTGTTCAGGTCATCAGTGTGATCCCTCCTCCTCCTCTTCAGTCTCTTCTTCTTCGCGTCCGCCTCTTCGTCACCCGCCTGACAAGCCGAGTCATCAGTCGTCGTCACCAAATTCTTCTGCAGCCAATCGGGAAACGAACTTATGATGTCCTCGAACTCAGTCAAATCGGCTAGTGTCACCGAGTACTGAGTTGAATTCTCCCGACACGACTCCTGAATTCGCAGTCTCGGATCCTCGGGGTCTCGATTTTCGAAATCGAAGTCACTGTTGTCGGGTCTCGGGTCGAACCGAAAGTGACTGGTAATACATTCGAACGTGTAGAGCCCGTTAGCGAGGAATAGGATAGCCGGCGCTTCGTAGCTCTCAACTTTGGCTGCTTTGAACTCGTTCATGTACACTCCTATTTTCTCTTTCAGGGCGACCATGCTGAACCAGGCTGAGAGAAGACACATGACCATGAAGCAGAGAGTGAGAAAAGCCGACAGGTACAGAATCACCGAACGGAGACTCACAAGTTTGAGAGTCATTCGCTTACCCATCTTGTATAGATTTGTTTTATGTGGTCAAAATACAAATTGAAGATGTAGCAAATTGAACTGTTATTAATTCAGCAAAAATTGTCAAAAAACAGTTGAACTTTAAAACATTTTATAGAGCTTAGAAATTATTCCTTTATATAATTTGAAAATTCTTGTTTGCTCTTCAAAAGCAAACAGCATATGGAAATGTTGGAAAACTTCTCAAAACAGAGGAAAAACTGTATTTATGGAGGGAAATTTGAATTGGAGTGAAGTTTTATGAACAGGTGCGTGTGAGAAGTGCAATTTGAACGAATAGTGGATTGAATAATTGATGGGTTGTTATGTACTCAATACAAAACGCAGCAAACCATAGTTGGAGAAAAAGCGATAGTATATAGGAAAATAACGAGACTTCGCAGGCTGAAAAAGTGTTTCGTTTTGATTATCATTTTGAAAAGCTTTTCAAAAACTCAAGCGAAGAAACAAATGAGGGTCAAGAAAAGGAGACGATGATTAAAAGATGATCTTAAGGCCTTTTCCGATCGATCAACTCAATGGCACTATACGCTAGATGCTTCAACGCACGCTCAATAGGTGGTTAGATTATCAAATGGTTAGATTGTCAATGAACGCAAATGAACAAAAACTACAAACTTTCGAATTTCAAAGAAAATAAGACTGCTCGTATCAGGGCGAAGCCCTGAATGTTCTGAATGACTACTGAGGTCTATGGAGCGGTAATAAAATGAAAAAATTAATTTTAATAGAAGAAAATGAACACTTTTTTTGTGTCCGACTTTCGTAACGAAAAAAAACGGAATATTTCTTCAGACAAATTTCGACTTTTTAACTAGCCATTTTTGACAGAGTTTTTTATATATCATTCGAAAGGTATTGTTGTCCTCAGCTTAAATTTAAAAGATATTTCACCTGTGATCATTTTTTGTATTGTTATCGGGGTTTACAGATTGCCATTTTGGCCAATTAGGGACAATCAACGCGCGACATATTTCGCGCTATTAACGGGTAAGCGGAGATTTAATCCTCTCAAAATTCTTCCAAAATGGTTGAACAAAGCTTGTTTGCCACAATCGATTTGTTACTGAGAGCAAACATTGAATTTTATATGACGTGTGGGGGATGATTTGCACAAAAAATCTCAAATTATAAAAAGAAATTTCAATTTTTTTCTATTACATTAAAATTTTTCATGTTATTTCTGCTCCATAGACCTTAAAAGGCAGTCGGAATATTCACGAGCAGTCTTGTTTTAAATTTGAAATTTATCCTCCACAAGCCATATAAAGTACATACTGATCGATTTCGCTCCTAGTAACAAATCAATTACGGCATATAGCCTGCATCAACCAATTTGGAACGATTTCTTAAGCGGAATAAATCTCCGCTCACGCATTTGCAGGGCAAACTGTAGCGCGCGGTAAATGACCCAAACTGGCAAAAATGGCAATCTTTAAACTCTCATATTTTCAGAAAAAAAAATCACACGTGAATAGTTTTCTAAAAATAAAGCTCAGGACAACAATACATTTTGAATGATATAAAAAAGTTACGTCAAAAATGAGTAGTTAAAAAATTGAAAAACATTGTTTGAAAAACATTTGAAGAAAAAAAATTACCCGGAGAACAAATATTCTGTTGAACTCGTTACCAAAATTAAGAACAATAATATGCAGTTTATCTTAGTGGAGGAAAAACTTTAAAAGATAACGTTTGAAAAAAATATTTTGCCTTAAAAAAATCTTACCTGGAATGGTTTGCAAGTCAAAACCAGTACTGTTTCATAAAGGCAACAGAAAAAAATTAGAGCTGTAACAGTACTGGGTAAGTGCCACGATAGTAAGTACTGTTTTTGAAACGAAAAAAAAAGAGTCATTACTGAACCAGTGAAGACTACAGGAAATTTCCACTGTTGTATTATTGGAACAGTACTGATTATTACTAAGGGATCTCGGGTAAGATAAGCACTATCAATGCTTAATAGATTTCTGACCAATTGAAAGAAAAAATGTGTGCCTTTGCAGGCAACCAATACTGAAACATGAGAAGAAAACTTTGACATATTACACTTTCTCCTCAATGAAAAAACTTTTCGAATGACCAATGTTCAGCTTACTGCTTCCTTCTATTTTCTGAATTAAAAAAATTTCAAACCTCACTGAGGCTTAAATGAATCTAATTGATTCATATTGAACGCATGTATAATGTCCGTATCTCTAAAATTCAAAAACGCTCGATTACAATTGATTCAAAATGGTTTATAACTGTTTTTTGAAGCAATAAAACCACTCTTTGTCAATTATAAGAGGTAATTTCAAATTAATTTCAATCTTTCATATCGGAGTGAGGGTTAATTACGGGGGTTGGTGAAATGGTATGGGAGATTTTCAGGCTCCCGCTATCATTTTTAAGCAAAACAAATCGTTTTTGGGGGCTGAGTGATGTGTGTAGTAGGGTGATGTCGGATGGGGCGAAGATATGGTCACGATGGAGGGAAGACATGGTGGGAGCCTTCAACTTCTGAATTGTGAAGAAAAAAAGATGGCTGCTACATTCGCCCAGACACTACACGTGGACGGAGCGTAGAAAAAGTACCCATTGACGACTGGCTGACGTCAGCTACCTTAATTCTACTCGTTTTTAATCGTCGTGAATTAGCCAGCTGCTTTTCTGGTCTGTTATGGGCTAAGTATTTTGTTACCATTTTCAGACCATGAGCCAAACGACTTTTGATCAGCTTTTGTTTACATGCGAAATAACAACATAGCTGGGTCTCGGATCCCCAGACTACGTGATCACTATTAAAAACATGGCTAGAAAACCACAATTATGTATGTTTCTAGTTACAGCTATATACTAAATAGATTAGAGATGGATTGACTCTTTCCTCGACTCTAACTGCTCTTTTTCTGAAATACCAAAAATATCGAGGTAAACTAAATATTTTCAGGTCATTACAGCCACTAAAATGTTTTGTTACCGTCTCTAACAGTCTCTGTGCACTGGGCCTCTATTTCCGCACTCTCCCGGAGTTAACGTCGTTATCTTTCAAATTTCATGGAACGGGAGGATTCGGATTCGTCCCGAATGTCCCACTGGACCTTCTGCTTCCACGATCTTCTTCCTACTAGCACCTTATTGTGTCCTGATGTCACGATAGGAGGCTTCGTTTTTCTTCTATTTTTCACAATCTCCTCCGACCTATTTTCGTCATGCAGTTCGGTTGTTGTGTTTTTTGTCTGTTTTCGGTCAAAATGGCCGTTTTTCGTATTTCTCAAAAATGTTCTAGTCCAAACCGAAATTTTGAAAACTTAAAATTCTAGATTATTCTGAGCCTCTTTTTCATCATAATACGCACTTAAGGCTGTCTTGTGCGTGCGTTGGAAGGTTCGACTGTGCCAATCCGGGGTATGGCACATATGGCCCTTTGAATTTCTAGAACAATTTATGATTGACTTTTTTTGATAAACTTAATTCAATTTGAGAAAACTGGACCTATAGGTAAAATTGCTGTTTCGCTGGGAAATCTTAAAGTTAAATTTCTCTTTCAAAACTAAAAGCCGATCACGTTTTTTGTGACCTCTACACTTTCGATGTTCGATAGTGAAGTTTGCCTGCCTTGTAACAAAGAAAATCAACTGAACTTTATAAGAAATCAAAAATCAAACCGCCAAAATTTAATTTTGAGCCTGAACAAATATAAGGACTTTTCCTGAAAAAAATCATTGCGACCTATAAAATAGTCTAAAGTACGACTGATTCATCGACTCTTAATAAAGATCGAGGTCAAGATACGGAAAAAAAATCTATTACTTACAGTTGAAAACAATTTAACAAGACTCAATTAAACCAAGCAAAATACATTAACTGAAGGGGAAAATGAATTGAATCAAAAAGTATAAAGTAACGGGTAAATTTAGTCCCAATCCGAGTTTTTACGGGTAGACGCAGTGTCATCATATGCCTGTACAGGTAGTGGTGTCCTCAGTTTCAGTTGGAAGTGAGTCAGCAGCTGCATGAATTCAGCGGGTGCCCCATTGGAGAGTGCCACTTGTTCCGCGTAGCTGTAGTCTGCCACCCCTTCCTAAAAACAAAATCGAGAAAGTATACTTTGTAACCGAATGCAAGATAATCAAAACATTTCACAAAAGTCAGTACATTATGTCTACAAGACCATGCTTATTGAAATGAGTGAAATAGAACAAAGTTTTAAAACAGTATTAATAAATTGACCTTCTTCATAGAAGATAAACATATTTTGGAATATATTCGCAGAATGAATAGATCACTATTTTTACTTGAGCCTCGATGAAATATTACGTGAACAGGCATCTTTTTCCACACTGTTAACCTCAAAAATTAACGCAAGCTTTTAATTATTTTCACTTTTATCCCCATAAATAAGAATTATCGCCCAAAAGTATGGGAAATTTGAAATCCAGATACTTACTTCGAGTTTGTAGAGGAACACCATTTTTGGACTTTGTCTTCTGACGTCATCGTCTTTATCTGCCTCACTCGACTGCGACTGTTGAGTATCTTCTTCCCTTTGGTCTATTCTGGCGAATTTCATGCGGCAGAAGCTCACTTGGCCGACTGAGTGTGTCTTCCCAAATGCCCTCTGGAGATCTCTGACTGCATGGAGTGAGTGAGTTGCCACTATCATGATCGGACTTGGCCGCCTAAATTGAGTAATTTCAAAAAAATTATCCACGGAAAAGGCTTCGAAAACTTCTATTATAACATAATTGCTATATCGTTGACTAAAATGTAAAAAATAAAAAAAATAAATGTAAAGTTTTCGTAATAGTCAAGTGCTTGTTACGACTATTCAAAAATTAAACTGAGTAGTATGGTTTTTGATGAATAGAATGATGGTTTTTCGAGATGTATCAGTTCGATCTCTTCACTGTTTCTGAAAGTGTTGGGAACTTGATGCTCCGGTATGAGGAGTCTGAGTCAGGGTGATCTGATGAAACTTCAAAAGACAGGAGTCATTTTGGTTGGAAATGAATCTGGGATTCTCGCTAATGTTGGTCGGCTAGCTCTGGAGTTGTACGGCTTGCTCTGAAGTAGCTGTGGAATTGCGTGGTCGCGTGGCTAGCTCTACCGTTTCCTTGCAATTTTCGAACTCTTTAGAGTAGGATTTGAGTGTTTCAAAAGGTGAGAAACAACTATATCCAAAAGTTCTCAAATTCAAATTTAATTTGTTTTTAAAAAAAGTTCGGAACATCGATTGCATCTTGACTGAGAGTTGTTTTTGATGATATAATATTCGACCCGATCTGAATTTTTTGTGGTTCCTAATTTTGCGAGGAAAGTTTTACGGCAAAAATAGTTTTTTATGCAAGAATTTACTTAAAGCTGAAAAATCAGAGGCTGTTTATAATTTTTCTACTCAGTGTTCGAAGAGGTTTTTGTTTACAGTTTTTCATATAATTAGACCAGCCAGTTAAAAATAAAAACGCAGTGATTGCCTATAAAGACACAGTGATACACATAGGAACACAGCCGCCGACCACGAGCAATAGTTCGGAAATGAAGTTATTAGAAGCACTCTTGTATACCTTCTTGTAAGGTACGAAACCCAGCTCTTGCGCTCTTTTTCAAAGAGATTGGTGGTTCTTGTACAAATGAGTCTGCGCGCAGAAGTGCTGAGAAAAACTTGTTCGGAAAAAAAATCGATTATCGGACAAACATTTCAAGACAGCGCAGTTTCAGTCCAGTTTGATGAGAGTATGATCAAATACACTAAGTTCGTTCACATGTTGGTTGACAATTTTAGAGATTTTTTTGTCACATTTGAAATTTTAGAAAATTCTAATGCTGTCGCCACATGCATCATTCTTTGAAGATTTGCATGTGAGAACTTATTAGCCTTGGGCTACTAGAAGAGTCAAATGATGTTACTCTTACCCTGATTGAGACAGCTGATCTGCTGTGGTGTTAGGCTGCATGTTGTTGCCAAATATAGTGGCGTGCTGTTGATGCTGTAGTGGCGAGGATGAGTAGTGTAGCACGAGGCTCTTCAGCAGACACGAGGCATCCACACTTGAAGTGCCTCTGGCGAATTCGTCAATTAGAATCACACTCCGATCTGTGCAATTGCTGCAAAGAAAATATTAATAATCTTTATACACATTCTAATTTGGAGCAGTTCGGAAAAATTTGGTAAACAGAGCTGAGGGAGGGGGTATATCACTCTCTCTCTCTCTCTTGTTGCCTTTTAGACCCGGAGTGAGAGAACCAAACATACAAGTTTTTCAATTATTAGCCCTTTGAGCCACTGTTTCGAATCTGCGGCTTAACAACTACATGCTCTTTGTTATTTTCATATCTATTTACAGTTTACTAGTGTCTTTCAGTTAATTTTCTAACAGAGTTTTTAGTTATGTTTCTAGGGATATCCCATGGCGCAGCGAGCAGTCGTACAGTCTGATGATAGACAGATCTTCTAGGCAAAGCAGTTTTCTGGGGAAAAGTATCAGCAGAACCTCTTCCGTGGGAAACGTGGATAGGAAACTTTTCTTGACAATTTCACTTGAGGAACGACGCGACCTAAAATGTTTTATTAAGAGATCCAGATCTTGTTTTCGACAACCGACAACCGAGGCCAGAATCTATACGACAGCAGACACGGTACATTAAGCAAATATCAGAATAGGACGAGACACAGCAGCTATCCATAAGATCACAGAAGGAAACAACGAACGGAGAAGAAAAGAACGAAAAATCGGCAGTAACACATTCTATTATGAAGCTGAAAATCGTGTAAAATCAAAAATGTTCTTCGCTCCTGACAACGAAGGAAATGAAAAATTAGTTCAACATAATCTGCACGCCAATCTTAATTTTCAAAGACTTTCATAATTTGTGTGAATTATTCTTTGGAAGAGAGAAAAACTACATCGTAGAGAAGTTGCAGTTGTACAACGCACACCAAAGTTACAAAGAAGGAATCGAAATTTTTTATCTTCGTTTATCAAGGCAAGAGGCGTCTATCGTTCAATCGAAAAGTAATAACCAGAACTAAATGAATTGAGCACTAGAAACCGCGAAAAGTCATAACCGCCGGAACAACAATTGATCTCGAGGCCAGAAATCTGAGTTCCTCAAGTTCTCTTTGTTTCTGCAGCAAAGAATTAACACTTGAACATAAGGACACTTGCACAGCCCAAAATGTTAACTGAATATTATCTAATGAATGAAAAAATTTTTCGCACAATGCTGCAATTATCCAAATTCGCACGTAAGCAACGTCATATCAGACGAAGTGGAAAAAAAACAGCAAATTTTATCAGTTCTGACAGCAAGCCGGAACATTCAATTCTCATAATAAAAAAGGTAGAACTCAATAACGGTCAGGTTAAAAGCCTGGAAATTGTTTAAAAAGCAACGGGCAAAAAATACTTGAACGCCAGAATCAGAGTGAAAAAAGCTCTATTCAGTGCAACAATTGGCACCGGAAGTCCAGCATCAATCGTCAATAAGAAGACAGCGGACTTCAAAATGCTTAACAACCGTGCTCAAAATAGTTATCGATTCAATCTAAACACATAACCATATCGTACATAGACTACAACCACAGACTAATAACGTTATTCGGTACTTTAATATTATACATCAATTGAAAAGGCTAGGTTAAGAGAAACGCAAAGTTTTTAGCTTCAGAAAAAAGGAAACGATGCCATCTGGGCTGAGACCGGAAACCGGACCTAGTTGTTGTAAATAAACAACTAAAACCACTCAAAACAGTAAAGACAGCCAACGAACCGGACGAAGAGGGGGAAAATCAGCAAAATCAAAAGAATGCAATTAAAAATTCTTCAAGAAGTATAACGATAAAATTTAATAGATTAGGCAGAACAAAGAATTATAAAGTTTGTACCCTATGCAAGCTTCCGTTAATTCTCGTTCGCGAAACCCGATCCATACTCAACAAAAATTAGGAGCAGCAATTCAATTGTTAATGAGAGGGGTCATGTAGTAAAGTAAGCTAAATAAACCAGTGAACATTTTCTAGCTCCTGTAGTTTTAAAAGCAAAGAAGGATGAATCCCTGAAGTTAACAATGAACGACCAAAGCAAAAAACGACCAAGTTTTAAGAATCAATTTCAAAACACAAGTAACAAGAGCTTTTAAGTTTCGCAGCTCGAATTATCACTTCAGAAACAAAAGACGAAATTTAATTCACTTCTCTAAATTTCAAGTACACTTTCACTCAGTTATGTCTAGATGATTGGATAACAAAGCACTGTAGCGTCAGTTTCGTATGCGGTGGTTAAGATTTTATGGATTTTCAGACTTCGATGCCAGAAAAGAATTCCAGAAGGCAATGCAAAAAACAATCGGTGGTATACTAGGTGTTTTTTTTTGTCCAGACGTATTTTAATTGAATCTCAAAGAAACGTACGCGATTACAACAAAATAGAAGAGGAAGTAATGAAAAAGGCGGACACAGAAGTTTTTTTTTGAAAATTAAACTAAGCAAATGTATCCAAGAAACTTTCAATTTAGTTAGGCTAGGAGAACAACTCAATAAGCTTCAGGTCAGAACATTCAAAACTGGAGGCAGTTTTGAACCTTTCAACACCGAAAACATTTAAGCAATCAAGATAGTTAATCAGAGTACTGAATCACCTTTCTCGCTTTTTTCCTAATCTAACAATAACCACTGAAGCGCTTAGACTCTCACTTATGTTGAGCAATGATGTCAAGCTCCTGTAAGGGGATCCTCAAGAAAAAGCATCTTACTACAAGTTCTTATAAGAAACGATCGCAGATACAAAAAAAAACACATCACTATCATCTATTGAAAAACTCGCGAATTGAATGTGAGGCTAGCCACAGGTTTGAGAGCCACGCTAGAACAGGAAATGGAATCTGGCATTTCGGCACCGTTCTTGTTCACATCTCGATTGAACCTAGCAGAGAAAAAAAATTGTACTGACAGGCTCGAATGACTCGATGTATTATGGTCTTGTAATTTTTCCGTAATTATTTACTGGGCAATCAAATTCATATTCTAAGTAATCCTAGAGCAATCACTTCTGAATTTCGAGGAAATCGAACATACCAATCTTGCTCCCTTAACATCAAAAAATGACGAGCTTTTTAAGGTAGGGAAAACCTTTATTGCCGACTTTATAATCTACATTTTTTCACCTGAAACCTCTTCGATTTGTATCAAATCATTCATTTAATTCGTATTCTAATTCGAAAATATCAATTAAAACTCATCAAATTATCATAGCTCAATTTCAATTTTAATTTTCAGAAACAGTCATCAGAAAACACATTCGATCTATTTTTAATTTCAGGAAAAGATATCAACTTAGCGACGAGTTCAAACGTCAGGGGAGGGGTGTCAAAAGATGCTACCCCAGAATGAGTTGGCGACAATTTTGAAAAAGAATTTATTTGGAATGTCAAAAATAAGTCAAATTTCAAAATAAGGTATTCTAAACCTGAGACACAAAAACAACTGGCGAGACTATTTACATGATCAATAAATTAAATAAACCAAAACACAATTAAAATCTTATTTAACTAACAAAATTACAACAGGGAAAGTACCATTAGAATCGAAGGACAAAAATCTTCTATTTAAAACTGGCTTATCAGACTTTCTAGAAGCAGACCTGTTATGAGAGTAAACCTCAACAGACAGTCAACTGGCCCTTTCCGGGAGCGCATTCTTGCGAAAGACAGGGAAGGTTTCTTACGTCTAGTAAACTATTTGTTAGGAAAAAGGTGATGTTTATGAAGGTTTTCATTTCCACCAATCAGAAACATTCCGCCGATTACGCAAGAATTCGCAAGAAGCGGCATAAATGATATCAAATGCCTCAACTAATTAAAAAAGAGTACAAAAATTTATGCCAGCTTATTATCAAAATTTATTTTCTCATTGAGCAGTACGGCTACATCAGATCAAAGTTAGGGAAAACCTTTATTTCCGACTTTATAATCTACGTTTTTTCGCCTGAAACCTCTTTGATTTGTATCAAATCATTCATTTAATTCGTATTCTAATTCAAAATTATCAATTAAAACTTATCAAATTATCATAACTCAATTTCAATTTTAATTTTCAGAAACAGTCATCAGAAAACACATTCGATCTATTTTCAATTTCAGGAAAAGATATCAACTTAGCGACGAGTTCAAACGTCAGGGGATGGGTGTCAAAAGAGGCTACCCCAGAATGAGTTGGCGACAATTTTGAAAAAGGAGTTATTTGAAATGTCAAAAAAGAAGTCGAATTTCAAAATAAGGTATTCTAAACCTGAGACACACAAACAACTGGCAAGACTGTTTACATGATCAATAAATTAAATAAACCAAAACACAATTAAAATTTTATTTAAACTAACAAAATTACAACAGGGAAAGTACCATTAGAATCGAAGGACAAAAATCTTCTATTTAAATCTGGCTTATCAGACTTTCTAGAAGCAGACCTGTTATGAGAGTAAACCTCAACAGACAGTCAACTGGCCCTTTCCGGGAGCGCATTCTTGCAAAAGACAGGGAAGGCTTCTTACGTCTAGTAAACTATTTGTTAGGATTCTGGGACGACACTATTGCGTCATCATCGAACACAGAGTGGTTATCCCGGTGTGCTTAAGAAAGGCGGTCTTGAGCAGACTATGATGCACCCATCCGAGGCATGACTATATGGTTGACGCGGCACTGCACAGTATGCACTGCGATCAACAGGGGCGGTTAAAATCTTTAAACTGTTAATTCACTATTTTTTAATCCATAGTGCATCCAAAATCTATTTGGACCGACCATTTTTCCGGATTCAAAAATAATCAAGCTACGAAAAGGGATTAAGTCAGATTTTCTGTCCAGTAGGGGAAAATTGTGGGTTACTTTTAGTTGAATAGTGTGCAGACGATCAAATAGCAAATTGAGCACGACGCAACTCAACCCAATTATTCAATCATCAGTTTGAATAATTTTGTAGGAAACACGCACTTCTCAAAAAACATCCGTTAGAGCTTTATTTTATACGGAAGCGTTATAGATAATTTTCTTTAACTAGAGAAAAACTCATTAATTTAGATCAAAATATTTGGTTAGGCCATAGACTTGCTGACCCCGTAGAAGATGCGCGAGCAGTGAGATTCTAGAAGCTGATTAAAAGCGTTCCCATAACAGACTGACAGCGATGATCTGTCATCAGTTTGCGCCCGCCTTCATCTTCGGAGGAACTAAAGGCCAGATCACCAGCTAAAGCAAGAAAGATACAGGCTGAAATGTTTTGGATGCAACCAGGATCTTAGAAAAGGAAAATTGTCATGAGCCGATTCGGAGACATATAAACTGCAAGCCCATCTAAAATTTCTATTATAAATCTTACCCTATCTTCAGAGAAATCACCAGAAAAGGGGTTGAAAAAGTTACCAGATGCAAGGCGATTCAATCTGAATTCTCATTCTCCAGTAACGCAAGAACTAGCCGAAGCAAGCATAAGGTTGGACCAACTTCGAATCCTCAAAGACAGCCATAGGTAATAATTTACAAGAATAGCAACTCATCCCAATCCTCCCAGATGTTCCCATTACGTCAAAACTGGTGGCGACACAAATTGAAGGTAGTACTTCAAAAGGCGGTATGAAGAATGCAGAGGCAATGCAAGAGCCTTCAAACTTAACCGCAGGAAGATCGTCCCAGATCGAAGAAGATCACCAGATAGGTCAGGCCAATTCTGATCCGCACACTAAGTCTTTGACGAGCAGAGCTTCCAACGGTATTAAGAGGCACACGAGATTCTTCGGTAGTCTTCTCCGCCATGCAGTCAAATTGGTCGATGTCGAAACAGTTCCAATGTCATCGGGAGATCTGGCTCAACCAAAACTAGATTCACCAGGACAATCATCAAAAGCTTGACTTATACCAGTGTCACCAGAGTGGATGTCGCGAAGCCCAAACTCATGAATGAAACTGGTTTATTGGTTAATTTTACCAAAAAATCTAAGACTTTCAAAGAAGGAAATGCCACATGCCGTAGCATCCATTTTCAAGGTCAGTGAGATGGTCATTTGCGGTCTAAGTTACTACTTCTGAATTGATACCTGTCAGCGCTAGTGAATTATTCACTTTCTGTGTTCCTGGGGCAATTACGATTGGTAATATTTGGTAATTCAGACGGCAAAAAAAGAGACTATTTATTACAAAATCTAGGAAAACTAGCAATCAAACTTATCGCTGCTTTTTGAGAACATTTCGTTTTTTTTTTACTTTTTCTATTTCTTAAAGGAGGCTGAGTCTTAAGTTATCAATTTAAGCAGTCGTTGGAAATGTTATTAAATCATATAATGGAAAAATCTATTACAATCTGCGCGTCATCAATCATCCCACTTTGGAAAAAGCTCAAAACTCTAATTGTGGTCGGAACACTCTGTTGGACAGCGATCGGCTATTCTTCTTTTATTTTGTGTGTTTTTGATTTTACTCTCTGTTCTGTATTCTCACTTGAGGGCCAGAGATATCTGTGCAATGTGAGAGGCAAAAGAGGACAGTCTCTGCTGGACAGATGTGTCCACAGTGAGTCTGACGAAGATGGAGTCCAGAGGACAGGAGAGAGATACGCTCTTGGCTGGCACAAAACTGCCCAGGTGAGCCAGGAACAGGATCTGGCCAGTCTGTTTGAGTAACACGCTCTTACCAGATGCATTGGGACCACTCAGCACCATCACACGACCACTACTGCTGACCAAAAACAAAAAAATAATTGATTTCCACATAGGATTAGCCGCAGCCATAAGTACTAATCAAACTAATTACAAAGCTATCTTCTTGGCAGTTCTTGGGTTATAGCTATGAATAGTATCTTTTGAACTAATAGAATTTTTGAAGAAGTTTGCACGAAGTTTTCTTTAAAATCTTATTTTCGCACAAAACTAAACCTTTTGGAACAATTCTGCCCAAAGGTGTCCCAGCTATTAATACGTGCTCCAATGATTGATTAAACTTCATGCAATAAAAAAGTGCCTCGATTGTCCATAGCTGTTCTGGGTTGAATGACGCGAGAAGGTAGCAAACTGATGAGCATGAGAGGGTGGTGGGGAGAAATGAAGAGAATTGGGCACAAACTGGTCCACCACTCGACACACCAACAAGTTCCACCCTTCTAGAAAGAAGAACACCAACAAAAAGTCAACAGACAGTGGATAAATCTTAGCGAACTAAAGGGAACAAGATTTTTTTTATTTTTAAAGTAGAACAGATAACATAGTCGTAAAAGTCTTTCAATTTTGAGAACTTTTTACGATCGGACCAATTTTTTTAAAGGAACAAGCAAAATTCGAGAAAATGGGATCAAGAAAATTTTTTGAAATCCGAGGGATTTTAAAAACAAAAAATCAATTTTGAATTTAAAAAGCAATCACCGACTTCCGGTCTGTTTTAAATTATGCTAATTGAGAAAAAAAAGAATTTAATCCAAGTGAGTTAAAAAAAAGGTTGCCAGTATATTACGGCGAAACCCTGAATGTTCCGACTGCCTTTTAGTTTGCCTCGAATACTTTTTGTTGAACTTTTGATAACTTATAACTTTTGGACAGTCAATATCAAGTTTCTTGCAATAGAAAAAGTCAATTTGAATAAAAAAAGGTTTTAGAAACTTTTAAGGATATGGGACAAGCAAGGACAGGGATGAATATCCGTATGAACTGAATAAACTTACATACTATGCAGCTATTCATGTTTGCCGGCTTTGAGAGCCAATCAGATAATCAGATAATTTTAATTTTTACCAGTCTCTTGATTCGATTGAAATTGAAAACTAAGAACTGGCCTCTGTCGCCAGATACTACAGTCAATAAAAGGTTATTCTTTTCATGCACTTCATAAGTGAACTTCAAGTTATCTTCGTTAGACGTTTACACCAAAAGGACGGTCAAATCCTCCATAAATCATAATGTAACAAAACGCTAAATACCCTGCTTCAATCTGATACGAGCTGTGTTAGTTAGGTTTCGACACTACACGAATTGAAAAGATTTAACTGTGGCGTAGGGTCCTTTTATCCTCCCGGATCCTCCTCAGAAAGCTCGTAGAGCGCCAAGTGTGGACTCGAAATAAAAGTTGCCTTAGTCGTGATTCAGATTCCAATTTAAAATAAAATTTTTTCTCTTATAACGCGAACACCTGGCATGAACTTCTCCACTTTTCAGACTAGATGACGCGAAATTTACGTGAGACACGCGATGAGAGGCTGAGCTCTCAATTTGATTATAATTCTATTAACGCCACCAGCGGATTTAGGGGGGATGCCCCTTCCTCAGAGAATCGACCCCTTGCCGACCCAAAGGGTCCCCCTTTGTACTATTTTGAGGTATCCAATCATGGCTGACTAATTTTGACGTCTATATATACTAATTTTGAGCGGGGAACGCGCGCCGAAAAAACGCGATTTTTTTATCAAAAATTTCTAACAAGTGCCTAAACGCCTTTTTTGACCTGTTTTTTCAAAATTTTGTCTGCGTCACAGAAAAATTTGGCCAAAACAAGTTCTTTTTAATGCTTTGGGAGAGCTCGGAAATCAATTTGATCGACCTAAAAAAAGGTCCACTAAACGTTCGAATTTTTTTTTTTGAAAATCCGCCGCCTTCTCGAGAAAATCCTAGATCCGCCCCTGCACGCAAGTATACAATTTCAATCAGAAAAACAAGGAAAAAAACTGCTGTCCAGGTAGCAAAGAAAAATTCGACTACTCCATATTAAGAAAACAGATTGAATTATATATAATTAAATAAAAATTGAAAAAAATATTAATTTGAAATAACCGAAAATCAATAATTTGAAAAAGAAAGCAAGATTAAGTAGTGGTTCTAGTGTACGAGTTTGATCCCCTGACAAAACTAGCATACATAATTGGTCCCCCCTATTTTCTACAAAAAAGAGCCAGCACGGGACTTGTATCTACGCCTAGGTACGTATTTTTATTTCTCTAAAATGCTTTCACAACTGGACAAGTTAGTTGTACGCACTAGACTAACTTGTCCAGTTGTGAAAGCATTTCAGAGAAATAAAAATACTTGCTGTTAGAAATATCCAAATACTGTAACTCGGTTTTTATTAGGGACCACAGCATTTTTGAGGGTACAAACAAGTAAACTAGTACCTAAGTGGTTGTAGCAGCTAAAATAACATTGAATTAACGCTATTTTAGCTGCTATAACCAATTAGGTACTAGTTTAGTTGCTTGGTCTAAAAAAAATGCTGTGGTGTCTTAGAAAAACCGAGGTAAAGTATGTGGCTAAATCTAACAGTAAGCATTTTTATTTCTCTATAATTCATTTGATCCGTGCTAAGTTAGTCTAGCGGGTACGATTCCGATTGCCAACCCCAAGGCGTAGGTACAAATCCCGTGCAGGCTCTTATTTTTAGAAAATAGGCGGGAAGCAACATCTAAACTAGTTTTGTCATGGGATCAAACTAGTAAATTAGAACCACCACTAATTATTGAGTTTTTTCAAGTAATTGAATTCCAGTTAATTCAAGTTATTATTTTTTTTCTTCAATTTTTAATTAATTATAAATTGTTCAATCTGTTTTCTTAAAATAGAGTAGTCGGATTATTCTGTGCTACCTGGACAGCATTTTTTTCTCCTTGTTTTTTTTTATTGAAATTGAGTACGTGCGTGCAAGCGTGCAGGATGCGGATAAAGGGTTTTTGCGAGAGGGCGGCGGATTTAAAAAAAAAATTTCGAACATTTTGAAAAAACATGCCAAAAAGGCGTTCAGGCACTTGTTGAAAAATTTTGACCAAAAAAATGCGTTTTTTCGGCGCGCGCTCCCCCCTCAAAGTTAGCATATATAGGCGCCAAAGGTGCCTTTCAAAAAGTTTTAAGGTTCGTCAGCCAAAAATGGATCTCAAAGTAGTACCAAAGGGGAACCCTTTGGGTCGGCAGGGAGTCAAATCCCTGAAGAGGGGGCGACCATCCCCCTCCGCCATCCGCCCCTGCGTGAATAAAAAAACTGTTGCAATCAAAATATTTATCGGTAAAACTGGATCAATAGGTAAAATTGCATTCCGCTGGTAAAACTTAGAAGTCAAAACCTCTTTTGAAATTAGAAGTCGATCACGTTTTTCGCTGTTCGATAGTGGAGTGTGTCTTCTCTTAAAGGAAATGAATGAACTTGAAAAAAAAATTAAATTGAAACCCCGAAAAATCATTTAAAAATATTTTTAGGGTGAAACAAATTTCAAGATTTTTTTTCCTGAAAAACAAAAAAACACACTAAGACCTAAATAAGCGTATTCACTACATTCATGACTCTTAACAACCCAAAACACTTCTTCCTTCTCAGCTTTGGTGATAGGATAAAAACCTACTGATAATGGAGATGTAACATGCTCTGTTGTCATGGTCAGTGTTGTTGTTATTGTCGTTTCGTTCGTAATTTATCCCATCGTGCACTGTGGGTCTGACGAGGTTGTATGACTTGGCGGCCAGTGCCATGCAGAGAATGGCGTCCAGGTAGCCTACAAATTGGGAGAACAGCACCAGTTGTGAGGAGTAGGTTAAAATAGCCTTCTGTAAACTGCTCAACACTCTTTCCTCTGCCACTCTCAGCTGCAGCAGGATGTCGCCCACACAATTGTCCAGTTGGACAGTGGTCGCATCTGCACAGTAACGGTGGATTGTAATCGATGTATGAATCAACTTTTTCACTTTAATCAAATTTAGACCATATTTTCTACATTAAAGGACTAAAAAGTATTATAGTACAGGCCATAATGTTCCTATTGCACTTTATAGGGTTTTAAAAAAAAAGGCTGGGTGGCGGAGGAGGGTGGGGTAACATTTTCCAAACCAAACCTTTGGCGCCAGTACAAACGAACTTTGAGAAGGGCGGGGGAATTTATTGCAAAGATCACAATTAACCAACTAGTCTCTGTACCATGTGTTACCTGTAAAGCTTTCAACAAGAAGAAGTCGAAAATGAGGCTTTTCGGGAACATCGCCTATCGGACATATAGTCGTGTTTACCTTTGAAGTAAGTCTTGTCTTCCTTGTCGCAATAGAAGACGAAGTCCAAGTGGTAGTCTGGGTCAGTGGTGAGAGGGGCGGGAGCAGTGGAATGAGACTGATTGGCAGTTCTACTGTGGTTGCCACCCACTGCCACGAAGAAGCCCAGAGAGGGGATGTAGACCAGACGAAGTTCCACTGGACCGGAGAAGTTGTCCAGCTGAATAGAAAAAACAGAGTATCATCGCTTAGAATGTCGTTTACAGACCTTTTTGGAATCCTGAAGCTGCAACGCGAAAAATTGTTTTATAAAATTTTGACCCATTTTCACGAAAAAAAACTTATTACCTAAGAAAGCGTTTTCAGTTTGATAATTTTTCATGATCGATGTTTTTTCAAGTAAAACGAGCCTAACTTGAAAAAAAACTGGATCAATGGGTCGACCACATATTGATACTTGCACGAAAGGGTTTCGTCAATCAGAATCCTTAACTTTGGATGGCAATGATGGCATGTACAATTTTAAAGTGTAGTTTGCTGGTCTTTGTTTCTTTATCTCTCTGTAACTGACCCTTACAGCATCAAACGAACCCAGTGTTTTCGACTTTTGCAGGCTAAATTACTACAGTGGTAAAACTTCAGGCGCAGATATAGTTAGCGACAGTTTTTAAACAAGCAAGAAAAAATGAAGAAAATCAGATTATGTTTTTTTTGCGTTTAACAAGCCGTTTAACAATTTAACAAGCAGGTGGAATTGAGTTCAGACTTCTTTTGAAAAAATGCAAAACCCACAATTTCTGAACTCATAAAAAATTTTCGTTTAAATGACACTCAAAAAGAACACCGAAAATATTTGGTTGCATCTCTAATTCCCCAGCTGGAATTTTTTTTGAAATTGTTTTTCTCGAAGCAAATCAGTCCGAAAGAGTTAAAATCGACTGATGGTACATTTTATTGAACCAATCTGGCGCTGAAAGCCTTTATCGACCCGACCTAAACGCGAACTGAAAGTGAGCAAGCTGTTCATACAAATGTGTATTCTAGTATGTTCGTATTCATTGTTTAACCAAGTCCTCTTTACCGTAAAGTCTGATGACCAATTCAGACAAGGTGTAATATAGGACTCGAACCTGGTGGTATTTAAGCCAGCCGAAGTATAAACGAGCAACAACAATAATGTAACAATCATGTAAAATTACAAAATTCATGCAAACTTCATTCATATGACGTACATTTTCGGTTGCTTTGTACTTCGGCTGGTTTATTCACACACCTCGAACCTATATCTCCGAATGTTAGTAAGAGGTATTTTTGATCCGAGGAATTAAATTTTGGGCCACACAAACACACGATGACAAAGAGTATGAACTATCAGTCTAGTGTTTTGGTGGTTGTTACAAAAATGTTCGACCTCAAGAGTGACTAGTTGTTTGAGCAGTTGTGGTAGGGCGGAGTATTTGCTCCTCAACACATCCACGCCCTCGTCTACCCCACTCTTCACAATCAGTCTCTGTCCCATCCCAACGCGGTCCCAATCCACACACCTAAACACACCCCAATGCTCTGAATCAAACACTTGTTCTTCCATTTACGTCAAACAATTACGTCAAACACTTGCGTCAAACAATTAACGCCGTTCTTCCACAGAGGAAATGTCAATAAATAATATTTTAAGGGGGGGGGGGTGGAGAGTGCGAGCCTAAAACAAATAATTTTTTGCTTAATAGTTTCCAAAAAACTTGCCCTTAAAGTTTTCTAAAACGAATGAAATTTAGGTAAAGTTAAGTATTTTTTGTGCTTTCAGACGAATGAAATGTTCTACGCTCCTCCAGAGTATTCTAGATTGCTTCTAAACATCAAAAAATACATTTCTTTTTACTTTAAAATGTATTGCATATCGTTTAAAAACAGTAATTTGACGATAAAAATAACGACCACGGGCTTATTTAGGGGACGGCCAGAGTGTTCTCCCTCGGGAACTTCATGCCCTCCATGCCCAAAGAGTCCGCTTAGGTGACTTTTCGACATTCATTTTTGACCGATCAACATTAATTTAAATTGTGTTAAGCAAGTGTACACTTTGGGGGGAGCGAGTGCCGAACAAGGGCAATGTTTTGGTCAAGAGCTTACAAAAAATAAAGCATAAATTTCAGAAATTATCGAAAGATTTTGCAATGCAAACATATTATATCTTGAGGCACTTAGCATAGTGGTAAGGCGTTCACTTTTGTAATCGTCAGATCGTGTATTCGATCCCATGCCATGGCAATGATAGTGTGTGAGGACAAGCTCTCACTTGACCTCCAGCGTCAGGTTTATTACAACCTGACCAAATTTCGCTGCCATAGTGGTACCACGTAAAGGTTCTAGACGCAAAAAAACGTCCTTCAGTCGCAAACAACAGCTTCGCTCAACAAAATAACACTGTCTGGAATGTGGGGAGATAATACACATGGACTATCCTCGACAGGACTGTTAAGGCCTACTGATAGCTCCTCTGCGATTCGCAGGAACTACATTATTATTATTATGATTATTATTTTTGCTTAGCAGTTATTTTTCAAAAACGCATTAATTGCTACACAATTTTTGTATTGTTTTGACCAAAAAATGCCCATTTCTGTTCTCTTTGAGCATTTTGAGAACTCAGAAAATCAATTTGCTTGCCTGAAAAAAATCAAAATAATTAGGTGCGAATTTAAAAAGGGCTTGTGGTTGGAGTCTAACTTGTTGAGCCAATGTTCGATCTGCTTCAACATCTGTCTCATCTCAGCCAGTCTGGAAACCTCCAGAATACTTGAGCCAGATTGCCTCGAGGAATGTGGAGTGACATTAGATGTATCTTTGACTGCGCCTGTTGATCCTGCTTGAGGAGACCTGATCGGTGCACCTTTGCTCTGCATCAGTCCAGCCATTATTCCCAAAATAGCCTGCAAACACGCAAATTACTATGAATTAAATTTTGGTCTAGATTTGAAAATATATTAAAGAAAATTGGCCTGAAAACAAGAAAAACTTTTGAAGCATAACTTCGAAATAACAAGGCTGATAGAAATGAAATCAACAATATATCGGTTGAAAAATCTATAAACAAAAAGACGGTTGCTTCAATTGAACAACAATGTTTATGACAGAATTAACATGTCATAAGCGCCGAAGTAAACAAACATCCAGTCTCGCAACAATTTATTAGAGGTAAACGAGAATTGCTCGTTTAATAATAACGATACAGAGAAATGATCGAGCAAAACTACCATGAGCTGATTTCAGAAAACTATCAGTCGTAAAATGTTTCGACTGCAAACAACTCAGAGTAGCCGACGCTAACAGCTATTTATGTCACGGTCAAAATGTTATGATCAAAGTTATGCACGTTTGAAACCGAAAAAGACGCAAAAGCTTTTATCAAACTACTATCGTAGTTTTTTGTTTTAGTTCCATTCGTTAACATCCTCCACACCTAAAGGGAGAAGAAATAGCGCAAGCTTAAAAGGCGGAATAAAAGTACGCAAAATGACGGAACGCGTGAGATTATCTCTGCGAAATTAAAGTCAGACAATTCGAGGTAGATGGTTATAGCTCTTTGGTTAGGGTTAGGGTTAGCGGGCTGTTCGACCGGACTACTCAAACGAGGTAGCCAGACTTGAAATCTCTCTCAAGTGGAGATCACCACTCGTTGATTTTGTTGGGTGAGGGGACATACTTCCTCAGCCAAGATGTGAGCACGCGATTGGCGTACATATGAGCACGGATAAACCGTTTCATATGACCAAAACTTTCGTCAGCAAATAACAACCCAAAGCTTGCGGAGTGTTAGTAAAATAGAAAATGATAAAGCGAGGGCGTCTCTTTAATAGGGTCAGAACTCACTTGAGCAAAGATCGCGAGTTTGATTGACTTTCCAGTAAACAAAAAGTTGTACCGAGAACTTAGTCGACCAATTTACGCGAAAAAAAGTTTGCAGTGAAAATTCGCTTGCAGCTGCGGTCTATCCTTTCCGGAGAACTTAGTCGGCCAATTTACGCGAACAAAATTTGCAGTGAAAACTCGCTTACAGCCGAGGTCTAAGACAAACCATGATGTGGGGCTTCTTGTGGATTAAGCATCCTTTTAATGCCTTTATGTAACAAGGGGGTTGGCGCACACCAAGGGGGCTGGCACACGGATTCATACAAGCAGATAATTTTCTGCTCCAACAAAGTTTGTTCCGCTGTCAAACCAAAAAACAGATGGGCAGCCTGGGCGCGCAATGAATCTTCCCTCATACGACGAGCAAATGAAAGCTTGCTACGAAAAAGTACAATTGGAAAAGCAATTTTTCAAACGAAATCGGATTTAATAATCATAATAACAAATTGTTTGCAAATTAGATTCCATTCATTGTAAAAGTTACTACATTTACAACCCAACGAAATCTCATTGCGAGAAGGCCGTGGAACTATGCAGCCCATTTTCAGGCGCCTCTGATCCTGTTATGACTTCTGTTATTTTTTAATATCGATAGTTAATCAACAAATCAAAAAAAAAAGATTTAATGATTTAAAGAGGAAAAAAAATTTTGAAGCAAAAAAAGGGAAAATTTCAGCAGTATACCTACACTTGACAGCAATTTTTTTTTAAAATACTAATTCTACTCAAAAATGAGTTTAAACAGTTGATAATTTCCTTGAATAAAATCGTCCAAAAACTCATGGTTGAAGATTTGTAATTGATATTGTGTGCAGCTCTGAATCTTAGTTACAAAATCTGGGTAGTATTTTAGAACAAAGTTGAAAAGTTTTCTAATTCTAACTTTTACAGAAGTTTTTTGATTACCTTTTGATTGCTCAGGTATCTGCCTAGCTAAAACTCTCTTATTCAAAATTGTATTCAAATTTTTCTCAGTTACAGATTCCGGGACAATGGCCGATATGCACTCTTTTCTCAAAACTTTACATAGTAACTTTAATAATTCATAGATATGTAATTCCTTTACGAAGTATATTTTGCGTTTTTGTCTCAGTTCTTCGATGCTTTCGTTTCTTCTCTTAAAACAAATAATTTTTATAAGCCGTTTAAATTAAGGTTCAATTGTTTCTAATTTTGTTTTGTCTGTTGACGCATAAGCCAAAACCCCGTACTGTAAAATCGGTTTCACATAAGCGTTAGATGCTTTCAATAGTTGATCTTTACCTAAAAGTTTCCTCAACCTGTGATAAGGATAAGGAATAAGCCGTTAATTTCAAGTTTAATTGTTTCTAATTTGGTTTTCTCTGTTGACGCTTAAGCCAAAACCCCGTACTGTAAAATGGGTTTCACATAAGCGTTATATGCTTTCAATAGTTGATCTTTACCTAAAACATTCCTCAACCTGGATTTTGTTAAAATAATTATCACTCTCGAGAGAAACCACTCAACACTTTTTGACTTTAATGTTAACTTCGAGCGAAAAAAGCGAGCGCGCAGTGTTGCTTGAGAAATAATTTTAAAAAACGGTTTTGATTAAAAATTATAGTAAATTTGGGTTTCGAAAATTGTTTCAGCTCCATCTTGCATTAAGAAAATTAAAAAAGCATAGAATTATTCAATTGTCGAAAAAAATTGTTGTCGAGTATGCTGGTTTTTACTATAAATACCAAAAAAGTCTAATCTCATGATTTTCGTTAATATATATTTGCTTCAAACTACGCACAAAAACGATAGTAATTAACGTAGAGGCGAGGCGGGGCGAATTAAAATTAACGACAAAACATTTAAAAAATTAGTCGAAAAAATTTAAACGTAAATAAACTAGGTCAACCAAAATTTTCGCATGTCTCGTTAAAAAATAAATAGGGGCCCAGCTTACGCTGGAGATACGTGTTTGATAATGAACAAATTAGCTATAATTGCTATTAAATCAAATTTTGAGATATCATTCTTCCAAAGGAGATAACTTTTCTCTCACAAAACATTAAAGGGTCGCCTTTTTGCAGGAACAATTTACGCAACCGGTTGATTTTTTCATCTCAGATTTGATTGCGTAAGATTTCACAGAAAAAAAAAATAAAAATTTCTGAAGATTTCTCAGAAAAAAAAAATCTGAAAAACGGTCAAAAGTTCTATAAAACGGTTACCAAAATTCATAACTTTTTTCTGTAAAAAGTAGGTTGCGGCCGCTTAAGCAGAGAAGATACCCAAAACCGAGTTTCTCGTTTGAATAAAACCTGAGAAACGGCACGGTAGTTTTCGCGTTAAGTCTTTGAAGGCCACAATTTAGGTATTCAACAACCAGAACCTGTCGTTTTGATTAAACCTATGATATCGGAATTGGCAGGATAGTTAGCAAGAAAAGTCCAAAAAAAGGTCAACAAATCAAAAAGTTGAGCTTTCTGAGAATCATAGCTTTTTGTTTGAAAAATAGGGCCTAGCCGCTCATGCAGAAAAAATTCAACCAAACTGTTATTTTGATTAAACCCAAAATCTTAGAATTAGGAGAGTAGTTCTGGAGAAAAGTCAAAATTTTTAACAAAAAAGACGGTTAAAAAAATCAAAATTTTGACATGTCCGAGGGCCATTATTTTTGGTGTCAGAAAAACTTGGGCGTATTTGCATAAGTAAATAAGCTTCCCGTAATCCGTTCCTTGAATTGACCCCAAAATCTCGCCGGGTAATTTTCGAGAAAATTCAAAAATTAACGGCCAAGAATAAAAAAACTTTTCCGAGAACGATAACGATTTGAGTTCAAAACTTTGTAAATGGCCGCTAAAACTTTGTAAATGACCGCTTTCTACTACCCATTATCTCTATGGAACCCACAATATCAGATTTGAGAGGCTAGTTTTCGAGAAAAGTCAACAAGATTCACAAAACGGTCAAAAATCCAAAATTTTACTATTCCGAGGGCCATAAATTTAGGTGTAAAAAATTTGGGTGCAGACGCTTATGCAGGTAGTTGTTCAAAACTAGTTTTTTCAATTAGATCAAAACTCAGATTTGAGAGTGGTAGTTTTCGTGAAAACAAAAAAAATCAAAAAAATGGATCAAATACTCCCCCACAGATTTTATCGAAGGCTCTAGACAGAGGGGTTAAGTGAAAAAAGACTATAGAGGGAGTAGGCCGTCTTTTTATTGATACCACTTTTTTTTAAAATCAGGAGAAGTTTCTGAGAAAAACTAAGATTTTGCAACAAATGAAAAAAATTTCAAAAACGATAAAAATGAAATTTCAAGAAATCGATTAAAAAACCTACAACCAACTTGAAAAGTGCATAGGGGTTTTTTTAATTTGTTTTTTTTTAACGCCCCAAATTAGGGTCATTAAGCCGATGAAAAAAGGCCAAAATAATTGAGGCCGATGATTTTTTTTTTAGCGAAACAAAAAACAAAGAAGGAAATACGAATTCAAGGTAAGTCAAATTACAAATTTTAGCAGTAAATCAAACACAAAAAGAAACATTCAAGAGAAATGAACGCAGCAAACAAAGATGTGACAACTAAGCCGACAACAGATGGGTAGACAAATAATTGGCCGGAAAAATTATTGAACGAAAAAAAACCAAATCAAGGGTAGTAGAATTACAAATTGCAGGAATAAATGAAAACATGAAAAGCAGCTAAATTGAAAAACTGCATTCAGCAAAAAAATCCAAGATGTGGCAACTAAGCCGACAAAACATAAGCAGACAAATAATAAGCCGACTTTTTTTGAAACGGAAAAATTCTTGTTTGAAAAAAAAAAACAGGCCCTGCTCAAATTCGAACCAGTACCTTTGCTGTCCCAGGCGTATTAGTTACCTCCAGACTAAGTGTGCCGGAGACGCTTAGAAATTTGAATTCAGTATGAGCGAAGGTGCCAAGTGATTCAAGTGGTTCTGTTAATTAAGTTGTTAACCCGAAAAAAAAGGTCTATATTCTGGTTTGATAACGCTTGCTAATCGCAAGCGTAAAAATATATATATTTTTTGGTTTTATAAGAAAATCGTGGACAGTTTCCAGGCTAGCTGCACAAAGCAACCGGCTTTTCTTGTCGCATTTGTAAGTTCTAATACTTGGTGGATATTTGAATTTAGAATCAAAAAAATATAGCACGAAACTTAAGAATTAAAAGCCTATTACAAAGTTTTTTACAGACTAAATTTGTAATTCAAGTTGTTGTAACTGGACCCAGGTAATCACAGGAGTTTTGAAAAAACGAAAAAGCCAAAATGAGATTAGATTGGCATTTCTTATCAAAGTTTCTGAACTGTTTTTAAAATGAAATTGCATATGCAATGATAAAAGTTTGGAACTGGTAAAGTGAAAAATTTAGCTTAACCGTCGTTCATAAACTATTTTCTTAACACTGGTTTGAACTTTTTGATTCCATTTGACCAACTAATTAATAATAACAAAATATATTTCGAAAAGTATGGGGTAAAAATTTCAGTATTATCTGTTTAGTGCAAGACATGCTGTTTTGATGAGAACAAAACAATCGGACCACAACATGAAAAGTTTTTTCTTTCTAGCACCACTTGAAAACTTCAATTCAATGCTTGATTGCATATTTTATTCAAACACTTGCAGCAGTATTTTTTTGACCATTTTTAACAGTAAACCAACCAAAAATGATAAAAGCTGATCCGTACTTTACTTCAGTCTTAAAAGTTTGGATCCGTACTTCGTCCCATCAATTTATTAACATTTTCCCCCTTAAAACTAGAAACTAATTGACAAATGAATGCTTTCGTATGCAACTAAAAACAACAAATTTACTTCCAAACACTATGTTATGGAAAAATCATGTTTGCTTTAACTCAATCAAGAATGTAACAGTAGTTTTTCGGTAATCAACACAAAAAATAGCTGTTTTACTATTTTTTTTTAGATCTTCAGCACGCGTTCTATACCATTAGTCATGACATTTTTTATGAAAAACTCTCGATTTTACTGGATTTCATTGACACAAACATTGGAAAATATATTCGGTTATAACTGTAAGTTTTAAACTTAAATCCAGTTTTACTATTAAAATCTGTTTTTCTTCCATTAAAACCGATTTTTTCTACTCAAAATGCAGAAAAATTGTGTAATCAATTGTTGTGTTTTTTTTGCAAAACTATAACGAATCAAAGATAATTTTTGAACTAAAGAAGTGCCTCAAGAAAAAAAAACCAGCCAAAAAAAAAACATTGATTATTTGAAATAATTTTGTTTTTTTTTGTTTCATGTTACTCAATAAACTGGGGAGGGGAGAACTGGGGGAAGGTGGTTAAGCTGGGAGGGTGGGTTCAGAAGAAGTCGTGGAGTTTACGTTGAGTTAACCTTCATCCCCTACCCAGTTTAACCTTCCCCAACCCCCTGTAACCATTGAAAACCACCCCCGTTCAATCATTCCACTCTTTAACCATTAAATACCGCTTTAATCACTGAAATTGCTCTCTTACTTGAAAGGAGGAAGGGGTTAGTGGGCAAATGGTGATAGTAAAAAAGGACAATGGCGATTTTTACCATAATGATAGTAGAAAAAAAAGAAATTGTTAAACTGCCATATTGAAAATGTAGAGAAAAAAAAACTATGTCACAAGTAAGACGTAGCAACTGTACTAAACAGGAAATGAGATAAATTGAAAACAAAGCAAATTCCATCAATAACCTCTAGTAAAAATCCATTATAATTGATTATAACGAATTATTATGGATTATAGTGATTTAAAAAATTGAATTGTAATCCAGTTTTAATCGATTATAACCGATTGTACTTGAACATTATTGAAACTGACAATGCAAATCCAAAATAATCAATTTTTATCCACGAAAAACCAGTGCAGGTGGAAACTTCATGCTTCCTTTTTGGGAAAAATTTTGTGTTGTAAAGAAATATTTGAAAACATAGAAATTTTTTTTCTACAATAAATAGCAAATATTTCAAATTAATTCAGTCAAGATAACTTAATTCAAAAATACAACTTTCTTGTACTTCAACGATCGGGGTTAGTCTCACTTTTTTTGCTCTGTGTAAAGGACTTCTATAGGACTATTTAAGTCATAGTCAATTAACACCCTTGGATCCGTACTTCGTCCCATCAATTTATTAACATTTTCCCCCTTAAAACTAGAAACTGATTGACAAATGAATGCTTTCGTATGCAACTAAAAACAACAAATTTACTTCCAAACACTATGTTATGGAAAAATTATGTTTGCTTTAACTCAATCAAGAATGTAACAGTAGTTTTTCGGTAATCAACACAAAAAATAGCGGTTTTACTATTTTTTTTTTTAGATCTTCAGCACGCGTTCTATACCATTAGTCATGACATTCTTTATGAAAAACTCCCGATTTTAATGGATTTCATTGACACAAACATTGGAAAATATAGTCGGTTATACATGTAAGTTTTAAACTTAAATCCAGTTTTACTATTAAAATCTGTTTTTCTTCCATTAAAACCGATTTTTTCTACTCAAAATGCAGAAAAATTGTGTAATCAATTGTTGCACGTTTTTTTTTTGTTTTTTTTGTATTAAACTATAACAAATCAAAGATAATTTTTGAACTAAGGAAGTGCCTCAAGAAAAAAAAACCAGCCAGAAAAAAAAACATTGATTATTTGAAATAATTTTATTTTTTTTTTGTTTCATGTTACTCAATAAACTGGGGAGGGGAGAATTGCGTTAGGTGGTTAAGCTGGGAGGGTGGGTTCAGAAGAGGTCGTGGAGTTTACGTTGAGTTAACCTTCATCCCCTACCCAGTTTATCCTTCTCCAACCCCCTGTAACCATTGAAAACCACCCCGTTCAATCATTCCACTCTTTAACCAATAAATACCCCCTTAATCACTGAAATTGCTCTCTTACTTGAAAGGAGGAAGGGGGTAGTGGGCAAATGGTGATAGTAAAAAAGGACAATGGCAATTTTTACCATGATGATAGAAGAAAAAAAAAGAAATTGTTTAACTGCCATATTGAAAATGTAGAGAAAAAAAACTATGTCACAAGTAAGACGTAGCAACTGTACTAAACAGGAAATGAGATAAATTGAAAACAAAGCAAATTCCATCAACAACCTCTAGTAAAAGTTCATTATAATTACGAATTATTATGGATTATAGTGATTTAAAAAATTGACTTGTTATCCATTTTTAATCGATTATAACCGATTGTACTTGAACATTATTGAAACTGACAATGCAAAACCAAAATAATCAGTTTTTATCCACGAAAATCCAGTGCAGGTGGAAACTTTATGCTTCCTTTTTGGGAAATATTTTGTGTTGTAAAGAAATATTTGAAAACATAACAATTTTATTCTACAATAAATAGCAAATATTTCAAATTAATTCAGTCAAGATAGCTTAATTCAAAAATACAACTTTCTTGTACTTCAACGATCAGGGTTAGTCTCACTTTTTTTGCTCTGTGTAAAGGACTTCTATAGGACTATTTAAGTCATAGTCAATTAACACCCTTGGAGGAGGGAATCGGAAGAACTACAGAAAAGAGTAGAACTAAAGTGAGTTAGTTATAATCGACAAATACATCTTCAAATTTTGAAAAACTAACCAGAAGTAAAATTTTTTTTTTCAAATTAGTCTAATATTTTTTGCAGAATAATTTTCAATCTTTTTTGCTAAAGAAGTAGTAAGGTAGTTTTCACTACTAGGTTTGACGAAGTTAAACTAAGTTTTTTCATTACGTAAAAGAATTTTTTTTGTCTATAATTTTCCGCGGTTTTTTTTAGCCATTGGGCATTTTATGTAAGTATTTTAAAGTCGTTAAAACTACGAGTGAGGAGGATTTATTAAGATATAACACTTGACACACTCTGATGATTATTGGTCGTACGGTTCCACCAATAATGAACATAGCCAATCGAAGATTGGAAAAAAGAAGTAAACGCAAGTAAACATATAAAAAAACACTGACTTTGATGAAAAAAAATCTCAACTTTCAAGTTTCAAAAAAATATACTTTTTAAGCTCTTAGAATTTTTAGAACAAATTTTGATTGGCGTTTTTTGATAATACTGCTCAAATTGAGAAAACTGAATCAACAGGTAAAGTTTTATTCCACTTTGAAAATAGAAATTCTTCACGTTTTTTCGCATCATTTCCACGTTCGTGTTTGGAGAGTGTTATTTACGTCACTTTCAGCAGATGAATTTCGATTGAACTCAAAAAATGCATATATACCTAAGTCCATTGATAAATGCATCAATAAGTATGAATGAACATCTGTAGTTATTAGAGAATTTTATGCAGATTTTAAGACTTTTTCCTGAAAAAAAAAATCAGCAAGACCTACATAAGAGTCTTCACTACGTTCATTACTCTTCATCAGAGTGTGTCAAGTGATATATCATATTGAAGCCTCTTCAGTTGTGGCTTGAACGAAATTAAATTATTTCCAAAAAGCGCCCAATGACGAGAAAAACCTATTTCTAACTTCTAGGAAATAAAGAGAGCTAGTAGGTCTTATAAGAACTACTCGTTAAAAATCAGAAAAAATTTTCATTTAAGTAATGAAAAACTTAGAAATTCATTTCGGGAAAACTAGTATGGGAAGCTTTTTTAGCAATAATTTTTTTTTTGAAAAGATTGAAAATCTATTCTGTAAAAACAGATCAGACTAACATTTAGAAAATTATTTCCGAAAGGTTCTTTTCATTACTGGATGGTTTTTCATTGGTACCTGATTTTGTGTGGAACAAAAAAAAGAAAAACTGAAATTTTCAGTGATCGGAACAATCACTCACTTTCCCTTTCTGACATGTCTTGAGGAGTGTTTTGAAATTGTGACCAGTGAGAGAGCGTGACTGTAGGTTTCTGAGCAGAGGGTACACATCCTGCACTCCGATGAGTTCTCTCCTCAGCTGTTGAGTGCAGTCGAAGTTACGGTAGAACAAATCCACCAATTCCAGGCGCTCACTAGAAAACAAAATATCAAGTTGCTGAGAATGTAGCACAGTTTTGACCATAGTTTTTGCAAAATTGATTATGTCAAAAACTAAAAAAATATATATTTTTAATCTTTTCAGTGAAGGGTTTCCAAAGATTCTGATTCCAAGGATCTATAGCTTAATAAATGTTTTAAGACAAAATATAATATCTCTTTTTTTGTCAAATGTCAAATTTCATGTCTCTTCGAAGAAACGAAATCGTTCTGACAACGAAGAAACTGTAATTCAAAAGTAAAAAACTTAAAAACTAAATGTTACTAATTTCAAGACGTAAAAAAGCGTGTCAAAAATGTAATTAACCTCAATAGTACTTTTTCCTAGGATTACTGAATGGTTGATTAAGACGCCCAAGGTCACCAATTTTGTCAAAATTTTAAGATTGTCTACGGAATAAAAGGAAATTATATTTCTGCTCACTTGATGAGGGCTGGGATTTTGAGAGGTGAGTGGAACCAGTGTTTCAGGAGTCTATGTCCGGAGGGGGTCTTAGTCTTGTCGAAGAGGGAGAAGAGACTGTAGCCCTCTTTACTTGCTCCACCCTTGTTCACAACTGAGGGGTGCAGGTCACGAGAGAACACACCCAAGTCACGCAGACTCTGCTCATCCACTACACATCTACAACAAAACGGTAAGAAAACGAGTCACCAAAAAAAAGCTCATAACTAACCGAAACTCACAAAATTCTGTTACTAGGCAATTGGATTCCTCAATCAAATATTTAAACACTTAAGGCCGTTTCACTTTTTCCACTTTGGTGAAGATTGCTATACTTTAACTTTTCTAGTCACAATGTTTGAAACAAAGAAAAAAAGAAACAAAGAAAGAAAGAAACAAAGAAAGAAAGAACGAAAAATAGAAAGAAAGAAAGAAGAAAGAAAGAAAGAGAGAGAGAAAGAAAAAAAGCGAAGACCGCAAAGTTTAAATTAAGTTTATATGCAAGTGAATATGACAAATGACTACCTGTTTTTAAGAGAGGCAGCTGTGGCGGGTGCAAAGTGAAGAACATGGTGTCCAAACACAGTGCTGCTCTGCTGGTCTAGATAGGAGAGGAGAGCCCCAGCTGCCCTGACCATACATGGACTGTTCTGCAAGAGAGGGAGAAGAGAGCGAATGTACAACTCACATTGCGCATCACTAAGACCAGATGGCATGCCTGCAGACAAAATACAATGGAATTAATAATAAACATATGTTCATGAGATGAAAAAAGTTTCAATTTGAAGGAAAACTTTTTCATTGAAGCACAATCGCAATCTCTACCATCCAGTGCGAGGCAAGTTTTTGTTCCGACCACTGAAAATGGGGAGGAACATTGTATTCTGGTGTGTTTTAGTTTTTTTTAAAAGTTTCTTTTTCTTTTTGTTTTCCACGCAAAATCAGGAACCAGAAAAACTCATCGGACTGGGTTGAGTGATATATCATATTAAAGCCCTTAGAGTTGTGATTCGAACCACATAAAAAAATTTCAAAAAAAATCCCAGTGTCGGGAAAAACCGGTCTGAAAGTTTTGATTTTTCGTCTTATTTCGATAAATTAAATCGTAAAAACTTAGCCTTACTTGAGTAACGTTCGTTTATTTAGAGTATTTCAACGCCTTTTGGAATTATCAGTTTCAGAAGGTCAAAAAACTGCAAAAAACTTGAAACATTTTTCGAAATAAAAAAAACAATAATTTGTTTGTTTTTCTAGTAATTTTTCGACAAAAATTGGTTTTCATTTTGCTTATTTTAGTATGGCTGTCGGATAGTTTCAATCCCCAGTGTTTTTGTACCTAATTTACCTAATACACCACGACGAAAAAATTTGAAAATACTCTTGATTTTTGTAAGACTATGGCCGGAAAATTCTGTGCTACTTGCACAGTAACCGGCTATCCTTGTTCCAGTTTGAATAAAAGCGAGCTCGAATTGGTCCAGATTACGCGTTGTAGGACCTGGAATGATTGATCAAAGTTTGTTTGAAGTGTTTGTATCGCAAGTGGTGCTAAGTTGTGTGTCCCCTCTGTGTTGATATCTTTTTTGTAAGAATCGATGAAAGTAGTTTAGACTCTTTTATAGGTCGTGATGATTTTTTTCCTAGAAGCGAGTATTTCAGCGCATTTTTGGAATCAAAATTTTCAAAAATTCAAAAAACCGCATACCTTAAAAAATCGAAATTAAATTTTTCTTTTAGTTTTCCAAGTATTTTTTCTTCAAAAATTGTTTTTTTTTGTCGCTTAATTTACTATATAACTGTCGAATATACCTAATCTACAGTTTTTTCTTCAGCTCCTTTTTTCATACCTTGCCAAAGAAAAAACGACAATATTTTGAAAAAAAAATGCTGTTTTTTTAAGACTATGGTCGGATCATTCTGTGCTACTTGCACAGTAACCGACTATCCTTGTTACCTCATAATATCTTTTGGTCTGCTAAATTTTGTTATAAGTCTTTTTCGCCAGAACATTGATACCTTGAGCGGTAGTTTAGCGGAGTCACCTGGAAGTTTAGTGGCGAGTAATCTTTTGGTGGCGTTCTCCAAATCAAACATTTTGAAGCCGAGTTCCTTCAGAGCAAAACGCTCTCTGTTCCCAGCTAAGTCCTCATCCTCCGCCACTGTCGTCTCTTCCAGCTCCGATTTTAAGTGACTCAGAAAATCACAGAAATCCTACAAAACAACATGAATTATGCAGATAAATGCCTGATTTGCAGAAAAATGCCTTAAAATATGTGGTTGCACCTTGTTATATGCAGCCGGGGTTGAATTTATGGGCGGATTTCAAGACAAAACGCCAGCAAAAAAACATGAAGATTAAAATTTCACGTTTTGCTGTTTGCTGTTTTTGTTATTAGCCTGCTGTTTTTGTCATGAACTGCTGTTTTTGTTATTAGCCTGAATCATGCATTAAATTTTATTCGCGTATTCCAAACTCATAGACTAATTTATCATCGAATCTTTCTTTGACCTGTAGCTTCTGATTGCTCTAGTTTTTTGGGTCAACCATTGAAATCGGGAGGACATTTGTATTTGGGTGTTTTACTTTTTTTGTTTTGCATGCAAAATCAGGTACCACAAATAATTATTTGAATGGGTCGAGTGATATTTCAAATTGAAGCCCTTTCAGTCAGTAGCGGATTTAGGGGGGAATGCGCCAAAAAAAACGATATTTTACGGTCGACATTTTCCAAAAAGTGCCCGCAAGCGTTCAAAAATCCATTTGGTCGACCTATAAAAAAGGTCGACAGAATTTTCAAAGTTCCCCCTGAGAAATTCCTCGATCCGCGCCTGCTTTCAGTCGTAATTCGAACGGCATGTAGAAATTCCAGGAAAATTTTTCAATCTTGAGAAAAGCTGGTTTAAAATGCTTTATTTTATTCTTTTAGTTCAATTTTGAGCGAATAAAGCGAGCGAGCAGGCTTACAATAGCTTATTTATGCTTAATTTAAGCCCTGAAAGCGCAGGTAAAATTAGTTATTGGAGTTTTTTAACACTTTTGTGTTTTTCAAGACTATGGTCGGAACATTCTGTGCCACTTGCACAGTAACCGGCTATCCTTGTTTAATCTAATTTTGTCGTGCCTTATTTCCCTTCTTGACAAGGACGGTTGAGGGTGAGAGAGAATGCACGAGTGAACTGGTGTTCAGAAAAGGCTTCTGCTCCGGACAGTCCTCGATGAACTCCAGTGACCTCCCCCTCTCCTCGAACACCACCCCTCCCACGTGACCCTCGCCCAGGAATACACACAACACTGAAATCAAAAGAAAACACTGGAAGAAGCATTTATAAAAATCGCTATGCAGCTTAAGAAACACCAGGGGCTCCGAAACAGTAACAAATCAAATGAATATATAGCATTTAAAACTCGAATACACCTATATATTATGCATTATTTAGTTTAGTTTTAAAAATCAATCACCATTATCATATTGCGGCACTTGTAGACGTTGCTTGCAAGTTAACGATTTCTTTTTCGTTTTTTTTAACCATATTTTTGTCAATATAACTACGGTAGGAGCTTTCCAACTTTCCTTGCTTCATTGAACAAAACCGAGCATTTTTTTTAAAAATTTATATTCCTCTTCTGAGGACCATAGGAACAATCTCCCCCAAAATAAATAAACTTAGATGCGAGATTGTTTACATGGTAATTTTTCGGATGGTCCAAAAGTTATAGAGCAACTTTTTCGTATTGGCCAATTTATTGTGACATACACTGTTTCTCTTTCATTCATCTAGGACCATTTATGATGTTTGCTTTGAGCCGCACTTCTGAACGAGTACCTATAAACTATCGTATAGCGAGTTTTAGGGTAAGACACGGCTGTATAACAATTCAATAATTGAAGTAATATTCAACTTGAGTTGGATGTGAAAGTTGCCCTTTCAAATACTCAGCCGTTGAACACGTCAGTCTATAGTTAGTTACAGCGACATCAAACCGAATCGGACTGATTTGACACCACCTACTGAAAGGCCTTAAGTGGCGCCAAATTGGTTCTTTTGTGAAGATAGCAAATTTGCAAAATTATTCTAAGCTGAAACACGAGAAACTATCAAGAGAGTTTCTACGGAAATTTCGCCAAGTGTTGGCCAACCAATCCATTACGACATTGAGTGCGTTTGTTATCAATGAGCCTAAAACTGTTTGAGTTTGCTCTTGAAAGTTCATTGTGATCTAATGCATCTGATCTTTCGTTGATTCAAGAAATATTTGAAACTGTCAGTTTTATTCCGCCGCCTATTGTGAAAAACGACAAACAACCGGGTCCAAATCTTCCGCGCATATCAATTGGTTTGAATATTTGAAGAGTTTTTGTATTTGCCTTATATTGATACAAAGTTTTTGATGTCCAACAGCATCAAAATCGTGCTTCGAACGGCGATCAGATTCTAAAATTTTAGACATTAAAAAGATTTCTGTAACTGTCACAAAAGTCAAATAGATTTATGGTTTTGCCACTTTGAAAAAAACTTTGCTTAACGATCAGTGTTTGAAGTTGTCTTTGATAAGTGTAGTTATGTTGCTGTGGCATGCTGCCCTGTTCACGGGAATGGCGGTGGGTGCATTAGTCATACTTACTCTCCTATTCTTCATCGTCCTACGAAAATACCAACACAAGAAACAGTGAGTTTATACATGACAGAAAATACACGAACAGTACACATACAATAGTTAACAAAAATAATAAACAAACACTGAAATTGGTAGCAAACATTAAAAGGAAAACGAGCAGAAATGGTAACCAACTCTTGCAAACTAGGTCAGGCGCGGATCTAAGAATTTCTCCAGGGGGGGTATGGCGGATTTTCAAAAAATTTTCAAAAGGGCGGATTTTCAATGTTGAAAATTTTTTCGACCTTTTTTTTAAGTCAACTAATTTGATTTTTTGAGCTCTCCCAAATCACTATAAAGAACCTAAATTGACAAAATTTTCCGCCCCGCAGGCAAATTTGTGAAACAACAGGCCAAAAAAGGCATTTTTATGCACTTAGAAAATTTCGACCAAAAAATCGCGTTTTTTCGGCGCGCGTTCCCCCCTCAAAATTAGTATTGATTGGCGCCAAAGGCGCCTTTAGAAAGTTTTTAAGGTCAGTCGGCCAAAAATGGATATCTCAAAAAAGTACAAAGGGGGACCCTTTGGATTGGCAGGTGGTCGAATCCCTGAGGGGGAGGGGGGGGGGGGCGACCGCCTACCTTGCTAAATCCGCTACTGAACTAGGTCAAAAAAAAGAATATCTTTCAAGAAAAAAAACAGAAATCGATTTTTTTGCAAAAATATTCACAATATTTTCTCTAAGCCTTCAAAAGCAAATCAAGAAGTTTTTTGTAATATGCACTATCTGCCAGCTTCTAGAAAATAACGTCATTGTTCAGACCCAAGAAAAGTTTGAATCTTTTACAAAAAAAGGGCAACGATAGGATCTTGGTAACTAGTCCTCATCTTTTGCAAAAAGGAGAAATTCGTTATGCGGTGCAAAATTCACATATGCTCAATCGTTAAGTTAGTTCTTTATAGGGGCTGAAAGTTCTTAACTAAATGCCATAGGGGGAAAAGATCCCAAAAGTATATCACATAGACTGACGAAAAACCAACGCTCTTTTCAATTGTTCGCCTTGAATAACAATGACGCGGGTGGCTTTTTAAGTTGCACAGAATGCTCCGATCAGTTAGTTTTACAAAAAAAATGGCGCGCCAATGTTGATCACTAATGTAACGTGTAGAAACGAAGTATTAGTTCTTTAATGAGACATTGATTAGTTGAGCATATTCAGCGATGCATCATACTTTGATGGAACTCAATCGAAAAGCTAACACCTTGGAAAAACCGTAGGGACATCTTCAATGCAGCTTCAATCATGACTTTAAAATATATATTTTTTCTAATTTACATTATTGACTCCATCTGACGTTTATTTGTAGTAATTGCTTTCAAAATGAAAAACATCCGAAGTTACAGTCCTTGTTTGATGCTATAGCCGATCTTACAGAAAAAAAAGCAAGATTCAGATGAAAAAAAATTTTCGATTCCTTGATCTTAAAAAAGCTTTGGAAACCCTTAAACAGTTGCGGATTTAGGGGGGGGGGGCTCCTTTTTCTTAGGGATTCGACCCCCAGCCGACCCAAAGGGTCCCCTTTGTACTATTTGAGACATCCATTTGGAACCTGATCTAAACTACATTTTATGATTGGAAAAATTAAATGTTTTACCAATGTAAAGTATTTAATATTAACCAATCATGATCCATCTAACTAACAACCCACTTATTTGTAAGTGCTGAAGTTACTTGTAATTTCAGCACCAGAGAGATTTGAATTTAACTTAGAAATTAGTTGGACTCTCCCGAGCACTTCAGCAGCCGCAATAAACCAGTATACCCTATATCTATTGAGCCTAGCAGAGACTAGTTAAACAACCTGAGACTAGATAGTATAAGAGTAAGATTAGGATCGGTATTAGACTAAGAAGTTGCACGAATCTATCCGGCCGAAAATAAGATAGCGTGACGAGCAGACGGTGTACCCTATCCGAAATTACTCTATGAGTTACACTTCGGTCCTAACTCATCTGGTGCGACCATAAGTCTCGAACAAGACCTTACTAGATTAGAATTAACCAAAATAGATTAGAAATTAGACAAAAACATTTACAAAATGTTATACGACAATAATTTAATTGAAATGTCTCTCCGACTCAATAGATCAGAGCCAATATTCCGAACCATAATAGAACTACCCGGAATTGGAAGAAGACCTCGAACCAAAGACGACATACGACAAAGTAGAAACTTGCCGTATAGTTATATGATAGTTCGGCAAAAGCCAGAACAAACTTTTATATTTCGAATACTACTTGCAATGAATTTAGATTTCCATTTGCAAACATAAAATCTTGAAGTTAATCTTCAAAATCATTTCAGGCGCTAAACAAAATTATTAATATGCAATAACGATTGATAAAAAGATCTAAGATCGTTTTCCTAAAACTCTGCAGTATTATACAAAACATGTTTGAAAAATATTTATTGGAAAATAAAAATAAAAATTAGTAGCATGACAATAAATGGTTAGTAATCATAAATCATCTTGTTGTTCCAGCTTCATCATCTAAAACATAAACAGCAATCATCAACTCACTAATATCATCAAAACACTAAATCTTTCCTTTACACACATTTAAAATTTTATTAAAACTTAAATTCACCTAATTTTAAAAACCAGATCATCAAGGCTTATCCTTGGATCTTAAATCATTTTCTATTTAATTAAATTTCAAATTTGATCATCAAGGCTTATCCTTGGATCAAACAGAACAACTTTGTTCTCCCCCACCCACTTAATTAGTGTCTAACGACCTCAAACGTCGATTCACTACCCAACCCTTTCTAAAGACCCAAGACTAATAGAAATTTTTAAACAAAACTAATCATTCAAATTAGGATAAATAGTGAAGAACTTCGGTTATTCATCCTTCACTTGACCCCCCCTCTTACCAGACCCAGGATAAATCTTAGACTTAGTAAGTTTAAAATAGTATCTAACGAACTACTCGCGTTCTAATTATACCTGAACCTTGTGGATCGATTTACTATTCTCCAACCCTTGAACACAATCACTACCCCTAAGTAAGATTAAGTAAGTTAACACCTTAACTTATACTAGCCACGAGAAAGTAAAAAATCATTCTTCGGAATTGATATACTTTTCTCTCCAACCCTGAACAAATAGACCCAGGTTAAGCTAACCAAAAAATCGTAAGAACTAACAGTTTAAGAAAATAGAAATCATTTAACAACTTTTTGCATCCGTCATTCTAAACCTTATGTCATTTAAAAACCTAGGAAATAAACAAACAATCATTTTACACAATTGTGAAATAGATAACAAAAAATACGACCTTGTAATCACACCTCATACACAAACAGTTGGATACATTCGCACAAAACGACAAACACTAAAAAGGAAAATAATAACTAAACAAAGACAAATAACACGAAAAAGATTTTCAAAAAATCGAAACGCATTTTCAGAATCAGAAACCAACAGTTTAGACGAACTTTACAAACTAAAAGAATCAATAGATAAAAATTACCCACTTCACGATCAATTATATTTTTCTGACTCAGAAACAACTTCAAATTCATCACAAAGAGGAAAAAGAAGAATAAAAAAGCAGTATAAACACAAACCAGTACATTTATACAATTGGAATCAACCAATTCGACACATTAATAATTACATATTAACAGTCATCGAACGGAAAAATGAGTTCAACGCACACCCCAGGTGACGAAACTCCAGATGATGATGAAATCTTTCCTTTTATAGTAGATGCAGATACTGATAGAGGACAACACATATTTTGTCAAAATTTACTCGTAAATTTATTTGAACCCGGAATCAGTCCATGTAAAACAGAGTTCCCCGATGTAAAAATCAAAAGACAAATCATAGACCACTACTTAAAAGATATATGCAACATAACACAACAGTATGGAATCTACTCCATAGAATTCACCTCACCAAACCATAATAATA